GAAAATTGCTCAATACATGAATTTCAGTAATGTTTTTCCATCATTACGGCATAACCTTGACTGGTGTGCACTCTGAATACTGAAGTTTACATTCATAAAAAATGCATCTCATTTACCACCACAAAACTGAATGTGTCAAATGAATAAAAAAAAATGCTTACAATGATGCACAGGGCTGGGTCAAATGAAATGGAATAATGGTTTAAATGAAACACAGTATCTTTCAAATACTGTACTGTAACTCAATATGCAAGCTTCACAGAAATACTTCAAACAGTCCAGAAGTTTAAATGACTATGGAAGAGAAAATGATCATATAAGAAAAGTTTATATAAATTTTCTTTAGTTCTAGTTACAATATAAAGGTAACTATGTTATACTGACAGCAACGTCTTAATTGTTTTAGGAGTGTTGTCATCATTCAAGTGCTTCGTTGTGTATCTGAAAACAAGTGAAGGATGGTGAGTGTCAAATACTTTTAAAGTACTGTAGTATACAGTATTATAGAATAAGATTATAATAATATATACAACTGACATTAAAGGTGGGATATATAGTATTCCTCTAAAGCTCATGAGGGTTAGGTAAAATGGACCCCGCATTATAAGTGGTTTCGCAGTTAATTGGTCAAATAATTGTGAGCCTTCACGTAAAAAGTCCCTACAGGTAAGAGGACTCTAAGGCTCAAATCCGTCAATCTTTGGGAGCACAAGTGTTTGAGCGATTGAAATCCCTGCCCGCCTCCCATTCTTTTAAAGTTCATCCTTTTCACCTGCACTATTCATGCCTGTGTCAACAGGCATTATTTTGAAGTGCTCCAGGAACTATACAGTCATGCGCCGGTTAACGTCCGACGGAACAACGTCCAATCGCACATACGTCTGTGCCCCCCCCCCGCACCACCACCACCAAAAAAAAAAAACGTGACGCCTGCTGGACCACCACTCCACGACCCCCTGACGGAGACATGATGATCCTCCCCATACTGGTCAGATATTATGTGTTAAAGGAATATGCTTCCTTGATTAGACTTTTTTTAAACATTTGCCTCCAAGTGTAATGTTAACCTACACTTATTGAGGATAAAATCTTTCACCCACAAATTGACAATAACACATTTGTTGTAATCAGACATATCTAGTTGCCTCAACAATTGCAACTCCAGTTGCAATTGGGGTTGCAATTTCAAATTCTGTGTCATTACTACGAAATAAAGAAGTATCTGGTGTACTGCACTCTAAGATTAAGAGAAAACGGACGACTCAGGAGTCCTGAAGTGAGAGAAAACGAATTCCTATGACGGGGCACTCAAATAAAGGGACATGGCTACATGTTTTATGGACTACCCACTGTACAGTATTGATGGTATATTTTTCATCACTTTGTAATAAACCTAGTCATGCCTATGTGCGTTTCTGATAATTACCATAACATTATATATTTATATATTTAGCGGTTGTACAAACACAAGGCCTCACACATGCCACTCAGACTGACAGACTTGACAAGTTTACCAACCATAAAGACAGTTGAAGCTTTAAACATCACTCACAATGGATCTTGAATATTCCAATTGTAATCAGACATACCTAAGTTGCCTCAACAATTGCAACCCCAGTTGCAATTTCAAATTCTGTGTCATTACTAAGAAATAAATAAGTGTCTGGTGTACTGCACTCTAAGATTAAGAGAAAACGTACGACCCAGGCGTCCTGAAGTGAGAGAAAACGGACTTCTTTGACGGGGCACTCAAATAAAGAGAGATATAGCTATACATGTTTTGTGGACTACCCACTTTACATTATCCTTTTCATCACTTTGTAATAAACCTAGCCATGCCTATGTGTGTTTATGATATTTACCATAACATTATGCAGTATATATATATATTTAGTGGGTCTAAATGGTTGTAAAATGGGAAACTTGGGGTTGGGTACCTGGAACCCCCATTGGAATAAATCCGATAGGTTTATGTAATTTCGGATAACGTCCATTTCAGTTAACATCATGTTTCCAAGAACGTATCTAGGACGTTAACCGGCGCATGATTGTAATTCATTATCAACTTTGTTTTATCTTTAACACTTGTGATGGAGGTTGGATGGGAGATAATTGGGTTAGGTTACTAACCTGACCTGAAGCAATGTCAGGTCACCCATTGTTGGGTGTGGATTAGTGGGCCTTATGACCTGAAGATGTCTTGAATAAAGTTGAAAGCCAAGGTATTTTTGAGGCCCGAGGCTGTTAGCAAAAAAGTGTACTGTACAGTATATCACTGATACCTAAAAAAATTTGACATTCACTGTATAACATCTCTGTTAGAAGGCATAATAGCTCTGCCAGCTCATATTAGTTGAACAAAAATATCAATTTTATTAAGTAGTGAACTTTATTCTGCTTTGTATACTGTATTTTATATGACAGTCTATTTACACAGCAAGTTAAAAATGTTCTGGATAAGACTTGTGTGAACTAGCAGTGGAGACTGTTTAAGATCCAGAGAACAAGGACAATTACCAATAGTGTTCAGGAGTTATGAAATGTTTTGTACAGGAGTTTTTGGCAATAGTTTTCCCAGGATAGTTTACAACTCCCTGGAGGAGGACAATTTCACCAGAACATTATGACTGACTGGTACTTCTCTTGATTGGTGTTTATTTTATGTTGTAAAGAGATTAAGAGAGGGGTTGCTTGATTCCCCCCCCTCCCGCCCAGCAATGATGGGCTTGGGTTATGATGAGATACTAAAGTTTCTACACGATCCATCGATTGCACACTTGTCAGCTCATAAATACATTGGTGATGGCAAGTATTTCGCTATAGACAAACTGCCACTCGGCAACATGTTCAGTCTTCTGTGTTTGGCCAATAATACCCCCTGCACTTCTCAATAACATATGAATGGTCTGTTCAAATTTCATGTCAGGAGCAAAAGCACTGAAGCTACTGTACCTTCCTGTTAATGAACACAAACTGGCACTGAATAAATCATTGGTAGAGGTAGGAACTTTCCTTTTCCAGAACTTTAATACTTACACTCAAGATACAAGGAACCATATCGGAGGTAATTAACACAATCAAATTTTGAATATCACTATGAGAGAGACAACCTTGTTCACATGCAACTTCAAATGGCCCACATGATCAGATACCACCAGGCACATGGTGATACTGACAAGTCGTTGAAATACACAATGTACAGTGATATCCCGTTAGCCGGAACAATTGGTGCAAAGCTCTTCCGGTGATGAGAGATTTCCGGATAATGAGACAACTCTCTGAAACACGGAATAATCCCACATCCAGGAATTTTTCCGGGTACTATATTGGGAAAAGTTTCCAAGTCTAAACTAAGCAACTTGCACAGACAGACACTATACCACATCCTGGAATGTTTCTGGGTGCTGGGGAAAGTTTTCCCAAGAGTCTAAACTACGCATCTCATCTTGCACAGACAAACACTCTCCCATTACATTTAGACTGTGGGTACGAGTGAAAATATTTACGGCTAGCGAAAAAGTGTATAAACTTTTATTCACAGCATCTGTTCTAATATTGTTAAGAGGGGTGAATTTGATACCATAAAGATTCTGAACAAATTCTCTACAAGACGGTTGCAATAAAAGATACTTAAACAAAATATTTTGACATGATTATATGATGACGCAATTTTTTTTGAAAAAACGTAAGAAATGTTGATACCGGAGTCTGTAAAAGCAGTTCTAATTAACCCATAGCTGGTCGTCCCGTACATGTATCGTATGACCCGTCAGTGGCATTTAACAGTCTTCTCTCAGTCACACCATGGCACTCGCTGTTGAAGAACGAGTGTTTCTCATCAAATTACATCAAAAACGTATCCCTTAGGTAATGTTAAATTGCATTTAAAAGTCACTTTGGTAGTCATACAAAGCCTTCAAAATCAATGATATGGAAACTGGTGAAGCAGTTCAGAGAAAAAGGCTGTGTGATGTAATGTTCGAAGAGAAACACGGATTTTTCCACAGTGAGTGCCATGGAGTGGCTGGGTGAAAACCATTAAACACCATTGATGGGTCACACGATACCTGATAACTCTCAGGATCAAGTCCTGTCTTGTTGTAACATTAGGCTACATTTAAACAAAATATTGGGTTCCTAACCAACATAGTTTTCACTGTATGGGAAGAGTTTGGGGTTCTAGAATAAACAAAATCACCATGTACATTACTGAACTCTTCTGGGTTAGTCATGACCATCTGCAACTGTATGGAAGACTCCATCACAAAAGACTGACTGGTATTACAGGCTGATCTAGTTGGACATGCACACTTGGAAACCTTTGGAGAGCCCAGTATATAATATTATAATCGGTGACAGGTGATGAAATGACCAGCAGGAACCCAACGCACATCAAAGAAACATTACTTTAAGACACTAAGATGTGAATACCAGAATTTTAATCTAAAAAAATATTAAGGTGTGAATTAAAAAAAATTAAAGTTCAAACCCATTAGAAAGGATATTAATATATTTCATTACCAATCTATACAGCAATGTTTGTGGTTTAATAACCTGAGCATTTTGTAGTCCTAAACACATGTAGAATCTCACCACTGAGCTTACACATGTTCACTCTCTTGTTGTTTATCACCTTCCTAATAAATCAGTTTAAGTACATTATTTGAACAAATCTGTAACCATGGTATTTTGGCAAATAGTGTTTAAAATTTGTATTTCCTTTCAACTTTTACAACGGTACAGTACTTCTAAGCTCTCTGGTTAAGGATCTAGGGTCAGAGATATAATTCAGGCATTTATTCTTCCTGCTACCTTTGGATACCATTACAGTACTTTTCCACTCGCTTTAAATTAATCTTCTAATACAGTTAAACACACTGCCAGAAATGTGTTGCTTTACAATTGTTTTGAAACTTATATAACCCCTTTTAATATATTTTATATTTTTAATAAGGAAATGTTTTATTTTAACTAAATTTAGAGAAGAATGAGGCACTCACCTGAGAGCATTAAGAAGGTTTTCTGAACTTGATGCAGGTTGATCTCTCAACACTTTCACACATCCTTTCACCTGTAACAAATACAGAACATTAATGCAGGGACCCAAGTACATTTTTTTTCAACATATGAGAATGACTTGGGGAAACTTTCCACTACATTTTGAAGGGTAAACATTGTTTGATGAAAACATGGTGTAACTGGCACACCTCACACAGCTAGAACTGCCTCAACAACACATCCAACTGCGTGGTCTAGCGAGAAAAGGTTTTGTTCATTCCGGTAAATTTGTCAGCGCAGGCAACCAGCGCCGACAGGTTTCAACATGCTTCTACTTGAAAGCATGGTCACATTCATGACGCTTGTCAGCACCAATCAGTTCTGGTAACCTGCAAGTGGGTAACCTGCTTTCTTTATGCTTTTACACTTAAACATATCGTAAAAAGGGATAAAAACACGGAAGGCAGAGCATTCCACAGTTTGGCTGTGTGAGGAAAGAAGGATACAGTATACAGTAGAACGACGATTTAACGCGAATCAACTTAAGATTATTGAATTAAAGCGACACCCACAATTAAGGACATTGTTCCAATTTAAAGCGAATCTTTCCTATTTTGCGCAAGTCAATCTGGCGCAAGTCAATCTGGCGCATCATATTTAAAATTTTACGCCTAATGTTTCTCTGGGCACGCTACACTGTCCTAAGGGCAAAGCTGTACTGTACATGTACTCAAAATAATGTACTAAATGATAACTAAAATTTTTGTCTAGTGCAAACTATAGCATGTTTATATTGAAATTAATCACAATCTTATAAGAATTCCAGCAATGTAAATTATATTTTCCCCAGTCACTTCTGTGACATTTTATAAGCAAAAAGCAAAACTCAATCTAAAGGACATAAATAAACAAATACAATACATGTAAATACTTCACTAGACCTTTGGCACAACTGTCAAACATATCACTGTCACCTTCCCTCCACCCCCCCTTCCTCTCCCAGCCAGGGTTTGGTGTTTTAGGCTTTCAGTTTTTATCTTAGATAATGTCACAGACTAAAGTTAGAATATAATTTGTATTGCTAGAATCCTTGCAAGACAGCGAATAATTTGAATATAAACGTCATATATTTTGCACAAGAGATAAAAATTTTTGCTCTTTGCATGTCTAATGCAAGCTATAGCATGTTTATATTCAAATTAATCACTATCTTAAAAGAATTCCAGCAATGTTAATTATATTCTCCCTATGTCAGTTCAGTGACATTTTATAAGAAAAACTTAAAGTGACTCTTAAGGACAGATAAATAAATAAGCATCAACTGTCAAACATATCACCTCGCCTCCCTCCCTCCCCCCCCAATCTTCCCAGCCAGTAAACAGACCATTTCGCATCCCTTAATTTTAGCTGTGTTGATTTATGAGTGTTTGTTTTAACATACTACAAAAAACAATGTTTTGTTTATTCTAGAAGGACTGAGGTGCATCTGGGTAAACTTTCAATCTTTTTAGTATTTTGTGTTTCTCTCAAGTACCAAACTAAATTATTCCATTGAAACAACACTTCGATTTAGTGCAAATTCGGTTAAAAGCGACCTTTCTTGGAACGTATCTTGCGTTAAATCGACATCTACTGTACTATAACGGGTTATTCTAGAGTAACCGACCTCCACACAGAAACGGTGGGCACCATGGGCAAGACGTGTGTTACGGATTTAGTGCAAATTCGGTTAAAAGCGACCTTTCTTGGAACGTATCTTGCGTTAAATCGACATCTACTGTACTATAACGGGTTATTCTAGAGTAACCGACCTCCACACAGAAACGGTGGGCACCATGGGCAAGACGTGTGTTACGAGCCTACTTCCTTGCAGGTGGTACACAGGATGCCAAATCCACCGAACATTGCCATTAAAGAGAGAGTAAAGTAACAATGTGGCAAAGAGAAAGGGAAGAGAGATTATTGACTAAAGGAAGAGAGTTTATCTGACGAAATGCCTTTGATGCCACCCTATGTAACAGTTGAACAGAAGAAGAGCCACCCCAGATATGAGAGCAGTACTCCAAGTTAGGACAAATGAATCTCTCATAAACATGCAGCAACTGCTCAAGATTGAAGTAGCTCTGGCATCTGTACAGCATTCCCAGCTTTTGGGAGACAGCTTTAGCAATGTTGTGGATGTGTGACATCCATGACATATTGGAGGAAATGGTGAGGCCTAGCATATCTATTTTGGAATTTGGCAAAATGGTTGCATCCTAAAATGTGATAGGTTGGAGATCTTCTATTTTGAAAAATGTAATTGGTAAATATTGTGTTTTCTTACTACAGTATTGAATTTGACTAAATTTCTACCTCCCCATTTGGAGATGCTGCACAGATCCACATTGATAGATGAAATGATATCAGCTCTAGAAACAGATCTAGTTTGAGAGATAGGGGAAAGGGAAAAATGAGAGGAGTGAGTAGAATCACCAGTGCAAGAATGGATAGAATTAGTATTAGTGTGAAGTAAATCATTGATAAAAAGAAGGAAGAGAGTAAGTGAAAGAACCGAACCCTGTAGAACACCACCATTGGTAGAGAATGAGCGAAAGATCGATCCCTCGACAACAACTGCCATGGATCGGTTTTCAAGGAAGCTAGAAATTAGAGAACAAAGTGGAGGAGAGAAACCATAAGAAGGAAGTTTAGAAAGCAAAGACATGCCATACCCTGTCAAATGCTTTGGAGGTGTCGAGGGCCATGACAGAGGTTTCCCCCTAATCCTTAAGAGAGGATGACCAAAGATGGGTACATTAGGAGAGCAGATAACCAGTAGATCTCGCCTGGCGGGAACCATACTGGTGACCCGACAAAATAAAAAGGCATTAAAGGTGACGGAGAAATTGAGAGTTTAACAGTTTCAAATACCTTAGAGAGTGATGAAGTTTGGGCAATGGGGCAGTACAGGGATTAGAATGGCCACCCTTCTTCAGGATGGGCTGAACCAAGGCATGCTTCCAAAAAGAAGGAAAAATTTGGGGTTTGAGGCAAAGGCAAAAGAGGCGAGCAGGCACAGGGGCCAGAGCTTCAGCACACTCCCTCAGAACACGAGGGGGCATTCCGTACAGGCCAGGCGCCTTAATCACATCCAGATTGGATAACACACCAGCAACCCTAAGATTGGAGATAATAATCAAGTGCATAGGTTCAGAAGGAGTAGCAGGAGGGGTAGAGTTGCCAAAGAGATTGGCTTTACCAAAGGGAGTGTTGGCTATAGAGCTATCAGGTCAAAAAAAGAGAAGGGAAAGAGGGAGTGCAGAAGTTATTACAGATGTTTTTGGTTGAGGATCAGAAGGATTTACTAGAAGAGGAGTTGGTCAGGTCAGCGGTCTTTTTTTTTTTTTTTTTTAATTTTGCTTGACTGTGGGAAGTGATCACTCCCAGTTTGAATTGATTTAATAAAATAAGATTGTGATCAGAAGACCCTAAGGGGGCAGAAATTGAGTATGAATAGCGTGAGGAGTTAGAGCAGCGGTCCACAACCTTTTGCAGGCTCTGGGCCACATTTATCATTGTAAATGTAGTGGAGGGCCTGGGAAGATATTGGAAGCATAATGTATTGTCTAATGGTAGACTCTGCTGCCATATGGCATCACGAAAATTGTGACCAAGTCCCAGGTTGCTGATCTGTCTTTCTGCCTCATTTACACACAATTGCAGGGTCTCAATTGTTTCTCTTACTTTGACAACACAGCATACATACGTATATCGTTTCTCACTATTGATTTTGTTTTCAGTTTTGTATTTCCTTATTGTTCATTATTATTATTATTATTATTATTATTATTACAGTGTTGTTATTATTATTATTATTGTTATCATTATTATTTTATTTTTTAATTTAGTATTTTTATTATAAATTTTATTTACTATGAATTATTATTATTACTGTACTACATTTTCGCCCCCCAGGCCCCAATGTGGGTCAGTGACCTGTGCCCGGGTGGGCTAATCCCCATAGTAAAAAAAAAAAAGAAAAAAAAAAAAAAAAGTGTGGATCTGCATTCAAGAAAATAAAATAATAAATCACAGTCAACCCTCGCTTTACACTGTCCCACATTCCGCGTTTCCACGTTTACGCAGTACCCTGGTGAAACCGGAATGCTCACATTCCGCGGTGCGTGTACCCCTTTACCTTGAGAGCAGCTGGCGAGCCCCGCCATTTTTGGATCCAAACCTCCCGCCATATTGTGTAAGCGGCGCGATCAGGGTGCGCACAAGGTCGCCCAGTCATCAAAACATTACCGTATATCTCGGCCTACAAGGCGACGGGGTGTATAAGACGGCCCCCAAAATTTCCATTTAAAAAGTAGCTTTTGAGCCCTATTCGCTGTATAAGACCGGTACCCCAAATGTGACACTTACCATTGGGAGCTTACTGACCCAGTAGTCCTTTACCAACCATCCCATTGACCAGTGCTGTTTACACATCCTTGGTTTTTTAAAATAAAGCCAATTCACTTCAAGTAATGGCATCAAATTTTACCGGTTGGTGTAGTGTAAACACTAGTGACTCACTTAAAAGTTTGTTATTTAACTTGAACTAATGTCGGTGTCGAATACAATTGTTTCATTTACTTAAAATGGATTTACCGATTTATTTATTTATTTATATCATACTGTAATATATTAAACACACTGGAAGTATTTTCTTTAATTTATAAGCTTGCTTCAGCGAGCTACAGTATTCTAATTCAATAGTGTTTCATTAGGATTTGAGTGAAAAAGATTACTGTACATACTTACTACATACATTTATTACACAAATATATATATATATATATATATATATATATATATATATATATATATATATATATATATATATATATATATATATATATATATATATATATATATATATATATATATATATATATATATATATATATATATTCACAATATTTTATAATTGCAGTCATGTACTGAATATTCTATGTAAAAAATATAAATTTTAAATGAATTATTTCTAGTGTGGTCGACTTCCTACACAAAGACGGGCTATAAATAGCCGTCTTATCTCCCCTCTGTTCTGAGAGAGAAGGTCTTGGTAAATAACTTTTGTTTGTTTATTTTCATTGTTTGTCAAATTTATCATGTTGTATCAAAGTAATATTACTAAAAGTTTTAGGCAGCTACCAAACAGGGAGATTCTACTGCCTGGGAAGATATTGGAAGCATAATGTACAGTATTGTCTAATGGTAGACCCTACTTCCATATGGCATCACGAAAATTGTGACCAAGTCTTAGGTTGCTGATTTATCTTACTGCCTCATTTACACACAATTGCTGAGTTTCAATTGTTTCTCTTCCTTTGACAACACAACATACATACAATATAATGTTTCACCTTTGATCTTTTTTCCATTTATTTATGGTTGGTTATTTAAAATAATGCCAATTCACTTCAAGTATTGGCATCAAATTTTACCCGCTGGTGTACACTAGTGACTCACTTAAGCGTCAGTTATTTAACTGGAACTAATGTTGGTGTGAGTAAAATATTTCCATTTACTTGAAATAGATTTGCCGATTTATTTGTTTATTTATTTAGCTATAATATATTGTAATACATTAAACACACTGCAAGTATTTTCTTTAATTATATACTTGTTTCGCGAAAAAGGGAGGCTACCATTATACCTGGTAGGTGAAGTTGACCAGACATTTATGATCATTAAGGACCAAACTCCGAATCCATGACGTGTCTTCTGTTAATCATTCTCATCCTAAATTTACCACTGTCGGTAGTTTCAAGAATTAACGCAGTCATTTACTGAATATTCTTTGTAAAAAAATTAATTTTAAATTAATTATTTATAGGAGATAAGTATTATGATCAGTAAATATACAGATATGCATTACTGACCACCTCCGAACACAAGGACGGCTAAAAATAGCCACAGGCGGTCACTGTCAAGGTCGCTTTCCCTTTCTCGTCACTGGCAAATGGGGGGGGGGGGTGATGATAGCAGCTGTGTTTATTACCGGGGTATATTGTTCTTTTACGGTATGTTAGACTGGTTTATAATACATTTTTTTTATTTTAATATACCGGTAATCTTCATTTTAATCCAGCTTCCCAAATGTAAGTTTCAGTATAAAATAATTAGTGGTAGGACCTTGTGAGTGGTTTACCATGTTTCCATCACCACTCTTGACACGCTAAACAGCAAAATTTAAGAGGTAAGAATTTTATCTCTGGTGCTTAAGACGACCCCCTAACTTTGGGCTGATTTTTTTTTTGTTCAAATTCCGTCTTGTAGGCCGAGATATACGGTACCGAGTTCTTCACCCGCCACAGCCGGCCCAAGTCAGTGATAGTGATAATTATAGTGAGGATATGGACTTATATGGACTTTGAGGGGTTTGACAAAGAGGCCCTGCAAGCCTCTGTGGTGGATAGTGATACAATTGATACAGGTGAAGGCCAATAATTTGCCCTCTGCCTTGGAACCAACCCCCCATCCCCTTGTGCCCAGCCATCTTTTCTACTAATGTAAGTGTTAAAAAACCTAATATTATTGATATTTCTTTTAATTATTAATTGTGTGTACATACCATCATAAAATTAAGAAGTTATTTTCACTACAACGTAGGTATTGTGTCTGAAAAAGTGGAGTTTGGGGGTCGGCCCGGTCTCTATTTCAATTAATCCCATATGTTATGTTGTTCACTTTACGCGTTTCTCACTTTCCGCGGTACCCTGTGGGTTGAAATAACCACATAAAGTGAGGGTTCACTGTATACTGTACAGTTATTTGCAGTTTTACACATCTAACTGTTACCAGTTTTACAATTACTCTTGGACAGGACGTGTGTATTTACTCCAATGAGAAGGCTGGCTCTCTCTGGGCCCGGCCTGGGGTAAATACTGTACACACGTCCTGTATACAACAAACTCAGGACAAACGTGAAGTCCCCCCCAAACATTGTATCAAGTTATTACATCCAGTATTTTCATTAATTTCACTCTTACAAAGAATCCCAAATAATTCACAATTTTCTAATAAACCCTTGCAGGTTCCATAATATGGTTCCGCGGCCGCCTGAACTACAGGTTGGGACCACTGGGTTAGAGGTATAACAAATATCAAGAATGTCAGCAAGTTGATCGTGTCGATCCATTGCAGAGCCAAGCCCCACTCTGTGATGTACAATGAAAGACAAAAGTAGTGTCGTGAAATTTGATGAAAACATATGCTGAAGGGTTAAAACTTTTGGTTTGCACATTCTGTATTAACAACTGTGTGTGCATGTAACAGAGTAAACAAAAACAAAGAAAATTACATATATCTACCAGAAATTATGAGTGGAAAAACAACATAGCTCAGCCTCGCCTGCTCCGAATGCTACTGGGTGGCGAGTCGGCTATACTATTACATGCCATCTACATGGACTTTATTTCTCGTCATCCCTTATTTACGATATTTCTTGTTTTTGTTCACTTAGCAATGTATTTTTCAAGAAAGCATCCCATTCATGAAACGAAGGATACCTGTACAGTAGTGAAATTAATGTTGGTGAGAAAAAGTATTATCATAGGTATATTTGGGTGTATGTTTTGGGGGTGCAGTACTGTTCCTTAGATGGTACAGGTATTATCTACTCAAGTATATTGACCAATTTTATATTTTTAAATTTTGCATGACAGTTCTCGGTCCCACTCGTGTTATATCGGGTCTGCTGTACTGTACTGTAAATTCTAATCACTATCATTCACTTTGTTATTATAATAAGTTACTTTACTTTACTACAGGTATTTTACAACTAAGCCAAAACAATTACCTGTACAGTACAGTGGTCCCTCGGTTAACGAAATTTCGGTTGTAATGGCCCATGTTTCATAAACATAAGAATTATATAAATGGGTTAATTACATTTGATTTATATACTGATTCATCCCCTGTAACTTTCCACTGGCTATGAGCTGACATGTTCAATGCACGTGATAAGGTGTGCCCACGGGAAGCTGCGTCATACTATGCTGAGTAAAGGCATAAAGTAGCCGGCTCCTGGCCACCTAAAGCAGGCAGTAGCTTGATATCCTTGACTAGAGGAAGACGTTATTTGAGAGCCGCAGTGGATGGCTCTGTCTTCCCTCGAGGGAGGACGACGGGTCTATTCCGTTCTCCCTCGATGGGTCACTACTCAAAGTCTCACTCACAAATGTACATCGAACGGACGTTGATTCACGTCAATTTACATAGACGCCGTCCTTTCTCATCACACTCATAAATAGTGGAACTTACGGTTAATCTACACTCAGGAATTATACAAATAATAATTTTTAATAAAAGAAAAAACTTCAATTGGGTTTCGTTACTAAAGCCCAATATAATATATACATGAACCAACCTGGTTAACATTGGAATTAACCAGCCGGTTCATAAAGGTGGCAGCGACAGTGGGAATGGATACTGAATTCCGGTGTGAATACACATTCTACATAACAAGTCATCAGTGTTTTCCGAAGCAAGAAAAACAAAGAAAAAGTATTTTACAACTAAGCCAAAACAATTACCTGTACAGTACAGTGGCCCCTCGGTTAACGAAATTTCAGTTAACGATTTACCTTCCATAAGAATCTTCATTTCGGTTAACGAACAATTGGTTAACAAAATTCTTATGAAAACGTTTCGACATGTTTTGGCTTGCTCACCAGCTGGAAGATTAGTCTGCCAATACAGAAATTGGTTCTAGGGCTTAAATTTGTTAAATTGGAGTAAATATCAAGAAGGTTGTACTATTCAGTGGAGGAAACATCTTGCGTGTGGGTCTCTTGAACACAGAGTATTTTTACATTTTTACAGTACAATTACTGTATTGTTAATTCTGAAATTTATTTAACGTATTGACAATATATAGTGCAGTGCATTGTTGATTTAAAGAAAATAATCTTGAATTACACCTAGTGAACTTAAAAATTTTATTGTGAAATGACGGCATCAAGCATGGGGTGATTTCTCTTCCATCCCCACTTCCTTCTCCTCCACCCCAACTTCTAATTCCCATCATCATCATCAACCAGGAGCCTTCTACATACACACCTCAAAGTAAGTGTACTTTACTGCATTTTTTTTTTTACTTTGTATGTACTTTTCGGTGAGCTGGAACCAATTACCCAATATCCCATTGAAACAATGGATTCGGTTACCGAAATTTTCGGTTAACGAATGAACTTCTAGAACGAATTGTGTTCGTTAACCGAGGGACCACTGTATATAAAATTTTATTCCTGTAAAAAATCAAAATCATTGTAACAACAAAACTTACATCCACATTTGAAGCTTTGACAAAAGCACCCACAGGATGAACATGGTCGTAGAGGATAATGAGCGCAACCATCACTCGCAAGATGAAGAGCTGTGTCTCCTCACGTTTGAACCTCGCTATTAACTCTCTGAAATAAAAGTAAAAAAAAGGAACTTTAGGCACATACTAATTTTCCATCATTAAGTCATTAAGTTATGTACATAAACTTACTTTAAATGAACTTCCTCTTCCTATATTACAAACACTGAAATATATAACATTACAAAAAAAAAAAAAAATACAATTTAAGATCAAATCTTCATCCCAAGAATGAAAATGACAGCATTAGCAGAGTTAACACCAATAAATCTTATGACTCATCTTGTTCTCATCAACAACTATGTCTCTTTGTGCTATCACTGTGTACGCTGTATCTCCCTGTGAATGGTGTAATGTAGACACAGTTTCAGTCCATGAGAAAGCACACAACCAAAATAAAATTTTAAGTCTCTGTGGCACCTGTAACACAATTTGGTCTCTGCTGGCAGTGGTGCCTTACCAGCTTGCTTGCCAGTTTGCATTCACTTTAAGTTATTTACAACCTCTTCTGCGGTCAATGATGACACTATGAACTGATTTAACTAAAGGCACAGTACTACACTCCCCGGTTGGCCTTAAGCACAGCCGTGACCACAATTCCGTAAAAAAATTAAATAAAAGTTTTGTCAAATGGCAATGACTTTGTGGTTGTAGTCCTCCTGACCTGGGCTGTATCTCCAACTCGGTGGAGATTGAGTTTTCAAAAATACAATCGCGTCTAGCATTAAAAACTCTGCCGCTCAACAACGAAGGCTCGAATCCCGAACACGCTTTGTTACAGAGATGCAACACGACCCAACCCGCAACGTCAGTCCCGTTAATTTACTGTAGCTATAATTTGAGAACTGTATAGCAATAGTTCAACAATTTACCTTAATTATCAGTAATTTATATTTTACGTGTTCACAACTTGCTTTGTAACCAATGAATTTTTCTTCTGGATAAACTTTTGTAATTGTATTCTTTGTTTTCAAATGTTGTACATGTTAAAAATTATTTTCAAGGCAGAGTAACTTCAAGGGGATATGTGATGTTTGTAGCAACTTGGGGATGTGTGAGGCTCTTAAGAGCTATTTGTCTCTGAGGAGGCTGATTGATGCTCCCATAAGGTCTATGTGATGACACCAAAGGCTATCTGTCACTGCTAGGGACTGTGAGGTTGCCAAGGGCTCAGTGCTGAAGCTTGTCTGAGCCCCCTACTATAGGCGAGACACGTCGATCAAGGTACACTGGTACCCTTGCATGATCCAAGTTGGGTTACCCTTATGGGACCCTGTGTACACAGGTAGTAGTACCATAAGGGCAACCTAACCTAGCAGTAACACCCTCTAGTGTCAAACATTACAATAGTAACTTAATGTATCATATAAATAAAAAAATTAATTTTTCGTTGTTTATATTAATCCGAAGAAAGTTTAAAACAAAAGGGTTCCAAAGGCAAAAATGATAGAGCCAATCTTTCTACTTATCCAAAAAGTAGAATATCTACTTACAATCTCAAGAATTAGAAAGATCATAAGTTCGAAGTTAAGAGAACAAAACTTATAAGTAGATACTTACGATCTTTTGAGAATTAGAAAGATCGTAAGTTCGAACTTAAGATAAAAAAATAACTTACGATCTTTTGAGAATTAGAAGATTCTAAGTTCGAACTTAAGAGAAAAAACTTACGATCTTTCTAAATCTCAAAAGATCGTACGTATCTACTTATAAGTTATTTTTTCTCATAAGTTCGAACTTACGATCTTTCTAATTTTCAAAAAATTATAAGTTCGAATTCTCAAAAGATAAGTTATTTTTTACCTTATGTTCGAACTTAAGATAGAAAAATAACTTACGGTCTTTTCAGAATTCGAACTTACGATCTTTCTAATACACACACACTTATTTACAATACAGGTACTGTAAAGGAAATTACTGTCTCTAGAACAAATGGCTCCCTGTCCCACCTGCAAAAATGCAGGCAACTTTAAAACTACCCACAGACATTCTTGGGTACATCCAAGGTGTCATCCGCAAATAACTGAGAACAGCGAAGTAAAAATCTGCGAACTTGGGGAGCATACTGTATATTATAGTGGGTAACTAATCATTTAATACCATATGGAGAAATTGATTTCTCAAATAGGTTTTTCGGTATTATTATTTTTTCGGCCATGCAGCAAATTTTGGTTTAGTTTAGGTTAGATTACGTTAGGTTTAAATTCTGTTTTTTATGTTTTTTCAACGATTCTGACCTTCGGAAAATATGATAAATCTACCACTTTTTCTAATACAGTAAATAAATATGACCTTTATTTCCTATAACACTACTGTAGTAACAACAATGAATCTCCCAAAGTGGCCAGGTCTTTCAACATGAGAAGTTAAACAAAAATAATCAAACTATTAAAAACCTACCTAACCTTTTGTGTTGGACACACAAAAAATGAATCGGTAAACCTGGTTTCATACACAACCAATTGTGTTTACATTTCTTGGATGTGACCAACATAGGACCAATATACATTATTACTGGCGGACTTTTAATGTGGTAACACATTTATCGGGAGATTTACACATGTACAAACATTTTTTCTAGATGTATTTAGGCCTCCCTTGTGACCTAAATGCTTTAGAAATAAATGACGCACTGGCAAAACAGCTAAATAATTTTTTTTTTGTAATTACTATTTGGAATTCTCTGGGTTGGTAAAAGTTAGGTCAGGCTTTCTTTTTTTCTTTTTTTCTGAGAACACCACTACCACCAGAAAGAGCTATTCGATTTCATTTATTTTTCCACAGATATTCTTATCCTTAGAGTAAGTATTTTATTAGAGACGACAATTTTTTAGGTCAATTGATAGTATCACACCGGACTTTATTTTTATATTAAAAATAGTTTTTCCTTTGGTTTTTGAGGAGTTTCGAATGAATTTGATATCCATTTCCTCCGGATATCACTTTTTTTTCAGATACGGTACACACACCCCCTCCCATCCCATCCCCACCCAACAATAATAGTGGAAAAAGTTGGATTTTCTTTCTTTTTCGAATAAATAAAATAAATAAAATACTAACCAACAAACAAAACCTAACTTAACCTAGCCCTCCATTCGTCATGCCCCCACATCTTACCTTAATCTGTAAAACTATTGTGACACCACCAAATATGCTGTTCTTAACGCAGTGTACACTGGTTACTACACTTTGGACAAAGAACTATATTAGGTAATACACCGCATTTTCTAAAAAAAAGAAATTGCCTCACTATTTTTCTGGTGTAACTCTGCAAATGGCGCAAAATAATAATTCTCACAACGTCGGCACAGCTCTTCCAACTCAAACCTCAGCTCCTGACCCACCCACTCAATGTTCATTGGCTAAAACAAAAACAAAAAAATCTTGCCCAATAAAAATACTCCTATCGCTAAAGCCAATAAGAAACTCTCACTTCACCACCCCCCACATACGCTGTAGACGCTTAAGAAGCAAACACTGAGGTGAGCGGGTGTCAGACCTCCTCCACCAGATGTAAACAAGATATGGCGACACTTGTGAATGAGCGAAAGTAATGATCTTGAAAAATTAATATCTCGGTTATCCTTAATTTCCAGTGGAAATATCATAGAAAAACAATGTCTTAGAAGTGTCTAAACATTATGAAACACATATATTAATAATAGCGAAAGAAAGTCTGGTGTAAAGTTATAAATTCACCACTTTTTATACTGATACCTGTAAAAGATAAGAGTAATTTGAAATGAGAAATACTCACGGATTTTCCAACATTCTTTGGCACACTTTAGCCATGGTGGCCAGAGTTTCTGTTGTATTTTCCAGAGGGATCTCCTTGTGCTGGTGAGTGGAAAAAGAATACAATCATACTCTAATACACACAAAAAAGTGAGGGGTGATAATATTATATTTTGGAAAATAAGCTCAAGAAAGCTTATGCATTTAGAAAAATAAACAATTATTTTAGTAAAATTAATTACAGTATTCTTAAAATTAATTTTCTGGAGTTACTCATTTTTTGATATGTTAAAAAACTAATTTTCATGGCACACTTCCCTAATAAAGTTGTCTTTTTTTCATGAAAAGGCTAGGAATAAGTATTCACTGCACAATGAAAAGATGTCCAAACTGATTTCTTCTAAGGACACTTTTGAGCGGGTGAGCTTTATCACCACAGTGTGGAAAGTACTTGACAGTATTATACGAGATGCCAATTGTATTGGCATTCCTTTACAAGTTTGTTTCATAGTAGATGTTCATCTACTATGAAGCAACCTTGTAAAGGAATGCCAACACAGATTTATGCCAGGACGTTCCTGCTTACCACAATTACTAAAGGTGCTGGATGTGTGGACACAAATCCTGGAGCAAGGTGGCAATATCAATAATATATATCTCGACTTTGCCAAGGCTTTCAACAGCATACCTCATGAAAGAATGAAAATTAAACTGGAGGAGTACCGAATTCATGGAACGTCCTACCATGGATCAGAGACTTTCATCATAACTGCAAGTACAGTCTAGTTGTGATAATTTGCGGGTTAGGTACCAAGAATTCATGAATCATCAAATCATGAATTACAGCTAAAATGATGTAAATTGAAATAATTACTTTGGTTCCAGAGGCCCAAAAAATCTCATAATCTGTTCCTAAACTGCTATAACTCTTAAAGCCCGAGTGACATTCCTTTACGTCCACTAAAGTGACCCTGGGTGATGTTCCTCTATGTCCTTAATTTTTGCAGCATAGTTTGAATCTCCAGGCAGTATGAAGTATTTTGTATAAGATATGTATTTACTTGGCAACTCAACTAGCACGTAGCCTTTGTCTCAAGTCTAGTGGTCCAGTTACGGGTGTGAGGTATATTCCTCAGCCACTGAGGCTAGACTCAATACACCGAACTCTATTCATCATGCTGGGGTGTACCTGGCAACTGGTACCTTCAGGTCTTCACCTATCCCAAGTCTATTAGTTGATGATGATGAGCCACCCCTTGATCTTAAATATTTGTATTTCTAGGTCTAGTGTTGGTGTTATAGCCGCTGGCTTCAACTACAGTGCTGGCGTTGCCTTACCCGAACAAACATTAAATCTCTCAGCCTGCAACCACGTGTGCCCCCCCGCCCCCCCCCTCACGCGACCTGTGACCTCGCCAGATGTGGCTGCTGGGGTTTCAGACAAGATGTCCTGATTCTGCCGAGTTATGGTTTAGAGGGTGGCGTGGCCGCCTGGCTTCCATGATACAGATCGCCCTCTCGAGTGATGCTGTGAGGACCAGCCCTCTGCTAGCAGTGGTGAACACCGACTCCCAATCCTGGCCAAGTTTGTGCTGGAACAATTTAGACAGTACTATTGTTCCTTGGAACACCATACTGGTTCGCATTGACCCGCACTTGTAAGTACAGCCAAAGTGATGACATACCCCTCAGTACTGAAATATTGTGGACTAATAATTATGCCTACAGTGATTTCTGCTATAACGCGTGTTTTGATAACGCGAATTTGCTCTAACGCGATTTATGAATTAGGAACGATATTTGTATAACGCGAACGCTTGTTTGCTATAACGCGATTTTTGCTTACTATTTCTCCAATTTTGTGAATATAGTAAAGAAGAATATCAACAAGAAGCGTTCCGGTGATAAAATTCCTGGTGATGATCGTAAAAGAAAGGATATAACACTAGAAGAGAAGCTCGATTTTATCAACCTCAAAATCACCCTTCTCCCCCATCAAGTAAAGTGTTACATTTACTGTATGATTTCATTATTAGATATGAATGTAACATTTATTTAGACCGTGCTATCCTTTGTGTTAGGCTAACTACTAAATTTTTTCGATTTCGAGTAATCTGCACCTAACCCTATTTTCTCCATAAGCCCTGTTATTTCTATTACGCGATTTTCTATAACACGATATTTTACAAGAACACAATTATCGCGTTATAGCAGAACTACCTGTACTCGTTTCTGCCTTATATGGAGCAACAAGACAACGCGGAATGAAGTGTAACTAAGATTAATAGTTATGAACTTTGTATCATGTCACTTTGCTTAATAATCAATTGTAATAAAGATGAAATTGTGTGACTAAACTAATTATTTATCAGAGAGATCACCATGTAATACTAATGAATGCCTTGTTCACTGCAGGTTTTGACCACATCAATAAATATTGAATGCGTCTAAAGGCGGATTTCAATCATTCCCTTTGACTTGCCCGTCACCTGAACGTCCTTAACCAAGGCGTTTACAGTTGGTTTTGCCGCCTCCGCAGTCTGTAACCAACACTTCTGTAGTTGACGAGACTATGTCCCCATGACTTTTTGGCCTCAGGGTAAGGGAGTTTGTGAACATTCTTTGTCTTGCTCCTGTTCTGATATGCCCCATGTAGTTCCCTAGTGCTGCTCTGTGAATTCTTCCTGAAGTTCAAGTTTGTCAGTATTTTAACAAAAGGAAGGACTTACTCCCTCCCTGTGTGTTTCAATCTCTTTTTTTAGAGTATGCCTCCTCTCACAGAAGGACTTTCTCGGTTTACAACGATGGCTCTAAATCGGATGCAGGGGTGGGTTTTGGGGGTAGTCTTTCCCGAATTCTATTGGGATGGTAGTCTCTCCACTACGACATCTATTTTTACAGCAGGGCTGTTGGGTATTTTATTTGTTTAAGATTAGTTTTACCCAACCTCATAGTGATTTTACAATCTTAAGTGATTCTTATAGTGCTCTCCAGGCCTTAGCTAGTATCTCATCTTAGTGATTGATATTTTACAGTGACTGTTTCTCATCCAATGTCAGGGCTGGAAAGTCAGTTTTTGCTGGGTTCTGACCCATGAGAGGGAGAAGGTGAATGAGCGTATTGATGCTGTGGCAAAAGCAGCTGCTTCTTGCCCTGTGGCACACCATTACCCTCTACCTACCTCTCATATGAAGCCAGTAACAAGAGCTGCAATCCGCTTGATTGGGCAACGCAGGTGGTATGCCGTCAGAGCTAACAAGCTCCACAACATCCACCCTGCATTGGGTGCCTGGGGATATCAGGGATTGTCATGCCACCAGGAGACTGCTTTGGCCCACCTCTGTATTTTAATGGAGAGGGCACCCCCTCCTACTGGTCATATTGACTGTTCGACACCTCCTAATGGAGTGCCCCAGTCTCCGAGATCTTCGTAGTAAGCACCTCTCCCAATGCAGGGGGGATGGGTCTTTTCATCTCTCTTTAGTGCTGGGGCGGTGGAGTGGGTTGTGTGGGAGGGAACGTCCTTTCCTTTGTAGAGGAAGCCAGCCTTCTACAAAAGCTTTGGGTTTTATCTATTAATGTTTAAATGTTTTTTTTTTACATTTGGTGACATATGACCTAAGCTGTTGCGTCGCCGGGGATGTAATTACCACAGTCAATCAATCAACCCAACAGCTCATCTTGGATGCACGTTCTTCGACGTCTTGTGAACCACCGTGCTCCTCCACACCCTCAATAGTAGTGCTTTTCATCAAGAGTTGCTGGATTTGAGTGGCATTGATATACAGTACTGTAGTATCAGGTGACAAAGACAGTGATGGGGAGGAAACAGACCCAGATGATGTAGTTTGTTGAAGCAGCCAAGGGTGAGGATAGTGATACAGACAATGGTGCACACACCTCCTCCCCACCCCATCAGCAAGGTCACGGTTGTGGGTCCGTGGTAGCCGTGGATGTAGGGGATCACATGCACGCCAGCCACAACAGTATAATTGGAATGACTGCACTAAGTTTATGCTTGAAATACCAGTTTTTGACAGTGGATTTTTTATTTATTTTTTATTTATTTTTTATTTTTTTTTTTTTTGCTGAAATATGCCCACATGGGGGGTCAGATGGGTCTTATGTCCCCCGGGGCAATTGGGTTAATAAATACTAAACATCTTACATAATACAGTACATGAAAAATACAGTAACACAAAGATATTATACTAAAAGTAGTTCTATTACATAAACAGCACATTTTCTTCTCATAATTTTGTGTGGGTTACTCCAATACACCACTGAAACAGGCAGGCACTGGGCTGGCTGTGATTATGCTATGTCAACAAAGCATTGGGAATTTAATACCACACAGTAACTCGTATGGAGTTAAGTGAGGGAGGGGGGGGAGGCATTATTTTATGATAATGTTTTATTAACCCAGTATCACATGAACCTAAATAATAACGGAATTATGGTAAAATGACATAATGTTTTAGTAAGAAGGGTGGAGGAGTGCCGTGCAATCAGAAATGGGGGGAGGGGGAGGGAGGGAATGCTCAGTCCTCCAGCCAACTGTCCTACCTCTCCCTCACACTATTTACTTCCCACATTTCATTTTTCTTATTTTATAGTTTATTATATTATATTCTCTTTATTTTTAAGTCACATTAAAAGCATTGAAATTATAAAACTTTTATGGTTTCTTTTGTAAGTAAACACAGCACCAGCCAGCAATCGGGCGCAAATTAAGAATACTGTATTTGACTGCAAAATTTAAAGAGGTAGTAATAGTAATACCTGTGAATTTCTATTTTGAGAATTATCGCAACTCTTCTGTAGTCTGTGGTGATTAATGGCACAAAATTATTTTGTATACCCATGAGAACCGGGTTATCACAGGACAATGGAATGGGACCATCATTGTTTGTTTGTTCGTTTCATAAATAATATGCCAGAAGCTAACACGCCTCCATACAAATGTTTGCTTATTATGCTAAGTTACTTTGGGAAATTAGGAATCAAACAGACTGTGGAGAACTACAGGAAGATCTCTGTCAGCTCTGTTAAGATCCAATGTTATGAAATGCAAAAGGTTACACATAGGTTGTACCAACAGTAAACATCATTAACCGAGACATAATATTGCGAAAAGGATCTGGGCGTGTATAATGACAACAAACTGAAGTTCTCGGACCATTGTGAGAAAGTGAATCAAGCAAATAAGCTAGTTGCCTTATAAGGGGATCCACATACCTAAATGGTCCATCCCTCTTCAAAAGTGAGGTGCTTACCCGTTTGGAGTACTTTAACCCCGCCTGGTTCCTGAGATATGCTATAGATTGTCAGTTGATTGAAAATGTCCAAACGAGGGCACCTCAGGTACCCAGAGAGATTAGAATGCCTGCAGTTGCCTAGCGTATACTATACTGCAGGTGGACAAGGGGTTACTAAATAAAAGTCTATAAAGACCTCAGATGACATTACTCGCTCTAGTGTTCATACTATACTTAGAACAGGAGGGTGCCTGCCCTTCTAGGGGTCACAGTTTAAGGCTCAATCCATCAGAGCACTGTGCTTATATCTGAGGGTTGTCGACCAAAGCCCCCCCCACTCTACTGTAGTATATGTTCTTGGGCTGTTTTTACCAATCCTCTCTGTTGACTCAATTTTTAATTTCATTTATCCATCCCAGTCCCCGCCTTCCCCTGGCCCTCCTACCTCCAACTTTGTCGATAAATATTTTTTATTATTCCCTCATCCCTAATCGTCACCAGGGATGTAATTACCACAATCAATCAATCAATTAATCCCTAATTATATGACATAAGTACTGCATCTCATTCGTATTTTTCTGTACATTTTAAGTATTTCTCTTGACGTCTTTGGTAATCCTAGTATTTCTTGATTTGTTTTCCGGTCAGTGTAGCTTATTCTTTGCATTTGTCTATACTATAACACCACACTAATCAAACTCCTTCAACCTCTTTCTGGTGTCTGCTGCAAGTGTCCACACTTCTTACTCATACATCAGTTCTCGCCATATAAAGCATTTCAACAGCCTTTTTCTCCAATTAAAGTTAATGTTCCTTTTCGTTAGGTCTTTCAGGTCATTAAATGTTGTTTTTCCTTGCGCTATTCTTGTTTTGAGTTCTTCCTTGCATCTACCACCACAGCTAATTTTACTTCCCAAATACACAAAATTTTCCTCTTGTTAAGTTTCCTGTTGCCTATTATAATTTTAATTTAGGATTTATTTCCAATTTGGAAACAACCATTACTTTAGTCTTTACATCATTAACTCTTAAACCATATTTTTCACCTTTTTCCACTAATTGAAGAGCCTTATATGAGGAACAGACCTCTAACAATTATTCAAGAGCTTCAATTTGTCATAAACATGAATATCCCGTTCACATTTGGTTTCAGTTAATATTTTTTCTTCCATCACACTGGAACATTATTTTTTTTTACTAAGATTATCTAGGTACTGTACTGTACCTACCATAATTGGCTGGAAAAGAGACTGATCTGAAATAAGAGCAATTTATCTAAAATTGAGATTTCTTCTTCACTTTGTCCACTTCAGTCTCTTAGTTGTCCTAGAACTACCAAGCTTGGTCTTTGTTATGTACAGTATTACAAATCAAGTAGCTTACTCTGCATGATTTTTAGGGTAGTATCCACACTCTTATTTCTCAACAAGTCTGGCCAATTGATGCTCCAATCGCCTGAGAAGATAGTGGAAGCATAATGTATTGTCTAATGGTAGACCCTGCTGCCATATGGCATCACAAAAATTTTGACCAAGTCCTAGGTTGTTGATCTGACTTTCTGCTTCATTTACACACAATTGCAGGGTCGTAATTGTTTCTCTTAGTTTGACATAACAACATACATACAGTATGGTCTGGATTTACGCGGTTTTTGTTTGTGTGTTTGGTCATTTACGCGGTGCCTTGCCAGAATGAAATGTTTAAATTATGCGGTAAATTTGGTCATTTACACGGCGAGCGGCTGGAGAGGTCCAGACCGCTGCGCCATTTTTTACTCGCGCGTTCCATTCTTGACTATACGCGGGAAGCAGCGCGGTGAGTGGTGCGCATTAGGCCGCTCTTACGTTATCGCTGACGTCATATGACGTATCAGGCTGTGATTGGGCCACGCGTCCTTACCACCCACACATTCCCTCCGCCGCTAGCTGTGATTGGTCTAATGTAACATGACGTGCCCTGCCACCAGAGGGTAAAAGTTGCTGACCTAGCCGGGCTAGTCTCATTGTTCTCAGTCCGCGTATACAGTCCTCTCTTTTGCGCGCTATTCCCCACACAATGGCTTCCGCGGGACCCCCACCACCCGAGAAAAACCTTGAATTACCTGGACCAAGCCATTATAATGTGAAGGAAATCATCGAGTTGGGGGAGAAAATTAAGCTCATCCTTGACAACGACCCAGACAAGCATCGGTATGAAGTGTCTAATAACCATCTGACGAAAGTTATGGAGCCATATATCCAGATCTATCAAGACAACATCAATGCTAGTCGTCAACGTAGTATTAAGGACTTCCTCGCCCGCAACCCACCACAACCACAGCCAGCCCAAGTCAGTGATAGTGATAGTGACAGGGAGGATATGGACTTTGAGAGGTTTGTCTTGGAGGCCCTGCAAACCTCTGCGAGTAGTGAAACTGAAAGTGATTCACCGGAGGGCAACTAATCTGCCCTCTGCCTCGGAACCAGCCGCCATCCACGTGTACCGACCCAACTTTTCTACTAACGTAAGTGTTAAAAAACCTAATATTATTGATATTTCTCTTAATTATTAATTGTGTGTGCATACCATCATAAAACTAAGATGTTATTTTTACTACAACGTACGTATTGTGTCGGAAAAAGTGGAGTTTGGGGTTCGGCCCAGTCTCTATTTCAATTAATCCCATATGTTCTGTTATTTCATTTACGCATTTCTCGTTTTACGAGGGACTCCACGGGTTCAATTGACCGCGTAAATGCAGACTATACTATACTGTAGTATATCATTTCTCACTCTTGACCTTTTTTTCTTTATTTTTGTATTTATTTATGGTTATTTATTATTATTATTATTATTATTATTATTATTATAATAATAATAATAATAATAATAATAATGTGGGTCAGCGATCTGTGCCCGGAAGGACTAATACTATACAATATTAAACTTTACATGGCAGTAATACAGTACTGTATAGAAATCAAAACCTATAGAATTTTATCTTACCTCAGTAACAAATTTAGAGGTGGCTTCACTGAGGATTTTGAGCATTGGTGTGGAATTGGCATAAAAAAGACTCATCTTGTTGGCCAGTTGATGGTCTATGGTCTCATCAACAGCCTCCACACTATTGTGTTCAATCTTAAGGCGAGTGACTGTGCGACGGTAGTAGCTAAAATCATTCTGGATGGCTGGAGTCGTCATCTAGGGAGAAAACTGATTCAAATTGCCTCTCTCTTCCCAGAGTTTATGAAAAAAAAAAAAAAAAAACTATGAATATAAATTGACTGCATGAATGTCAGGTCTTGGAAAAGGTTGACCTAGGAGACAACTGGACAAGCACTGGGTACAGTATATATTGTGGCACCACTAGTCTGCCAGACTCAATATTAATATACAGAATTACAACTGGATGAAGATCGAGACATACAAGACTGTTGCCTTGGTTAAGAAAAGAGCTAAATTACCTTAAGTTCATCAAATTTCAGAGTAAATTCAAGAATTTCTGCAAACTGTTTGACGAGTGCTTGCTGGTTTTCCAAATGTTGTGTAGGAGATATCTCTGGCCCACATAATTCTGCGAGGATCCGTGGAACAATCATCTCTAGAAAAGAATCAATGTTAACAGAAAGGCAATAGTTTTTGGTTTCTTACTAAGTAAAACTCATATACTGTACTGTTCAACTTACACTCCTTATACACATTATCACTATGGGTTTGCAAATTAATATACCGGTATTCACAATTGTACACCAATTATAAAAAAAAACCCTGCCTAATGCATTACAGTACTGCATTTGCTACCAAGGACAACTAAATAATTATGAAAACCTGTACCATAAAAAACATCATTAGGTCAACAGCTCTTATTGAGGTTCAGCTACTTCAGCTTGTGAGTCACATTGTGTCAAGGAATTTACTAAAGTAAAATACAGTAAATCAGACTGAGCAATTTCATTATGTTGCTAAGTCACAAAATACAATGATATTTGGGAAGGTAGCAAGTCTGCAACATTGCAGGAAGACCTGAATGAACTGTTCAAATGGTCTCAAGATTGGCAAATGCTCCTTAACATTACAAAATGCAAAACCTTACACGGAGGATACAACAATCCTAAGCACAACTATTCTGTTAATAATACTTTCCTGGATACTGTCGATAAGGAGAAAGATGTTGGCATTGTGATAGATCATTTACTGAAGATGGCGCAACAAGTGAGGAAAGCAAATCGAGATTTGGGAATTATAAAGCATACCTTTGAATAGTAATTACCGGGTACATGTATCTCTGATAGCCGGAATTGGAAATTTCTCGGAAAATCGTTCCTAAAGCCACAATTTTCCGGAAAATTCTGGCTTTGGGAATGATTTTCCAAGGGGCACATTTTCCGGAAAATTCTGAAAACATTTTCCTGAAACCCAGAAAATTACAGGGATGGGAGATTTTTTTTTTATGGGTTTGAGATATGAAAATCAGGTACCTTTTCCGGAAATTCCGAGAAAAATTTTTATGGTACCTGGAAAATTCCGAGGATGTGGGATATTTTTCCGGTTCGAGAGATAATGTAATGGCCAATTTCTGGAACTTTCGAGAACATTTTTCTGTTACCCAGAAAATTCCGGGGATGAGGGATTTTTTCCGGCTTTGAGAGAGTTGTCGAGTTACCCGGAAGTGCTCTGTACCAATTGTTCTGGCTAATGGAGATATCACTGTAAAGCATAGGTATCCCCAGGGTTGTGGAATTTTGAAATTATGACCATAATTTTGGGTTACGGAGAGAAAGAGAGAGAGAGAGAGAGAGAGAAAAATCGCCCTTACTGAATTAAAAAAAAAAAAATCAAAATTTATTTTTATTTTTCATGTGGATGCATCTGTGGTAGCAAAAAGGTGCCAGCGGTCCCACAACAGCAGCAATGTTTTCAGTCTGCTTGAATCTTCAGCCAATGTTCTGCTTTCCCTCAGGTTTTTGGACTTTATTACAGGTATTGTACTGTGCATTCTTAATCAGTATGAGTGAAAAAAGACCATCAAGTTCAAGAGAAATCAGTGGTGGTAAAATATTCCATAAAGGAATTACACTGGACATTAAACTTAATGTTTTAAGGAAGTAATTCCCAGTAACTTTGATTCCACAATCTCACCTCACCACCTCCTGCAGCACTCAACATCGTTTCTGGCAAGTAAAATTCACGTGTTTTGTTCATTTACTCTCACAGTTGTAAAAAGTACTGGACTAAAGTAAAGGTATTGTTACATTGGCCAAATGTTACTCAAGTATAAGTAAAAGTATCCAAATGTCAATGTAATGAAGTAGAAGTAAAAAATTATCTCATTCATAAAGTACTCAAGCACTGAAAGTAAAAAGTAACAACAAAATTATTATGTCTCAAATATTAAAATAAGTCTACAGTAAATTTAAAACAATAGTTAACTAAAGATAAAAATAAAAGATACACAGCATTACACATGTTTATTTACAAATCTTTCTATTGAGATTAATTAATAACCAATTCTCGAAATTATGGCTGTCCAATCAGGACCTTTAAGACCTAAATATAAGCCCAGCTTGACCTACCGAAAGAGAATACGTTCAGCCGCTCTTCTCCCTACAATCCATCACAGGGATGGTGAAAGGACTGAAAATATATCCATGCAACACAATGATAAATTTTTTCCTTATCCACACAAGTATTGTCGGTGTGGACTTATGGTCCACAGATATAATGTTGTTGTCTCTGCTCGCATTAGGTTAGGATACAGACCTATCTGGCATGTATCCGAGGTGGGGGATGACCCGCACTTCTCTTCCTGTAAACTCTGTAACTGTCCCAATGCTAACACCCATCAACACTATTGCGGTGACTGTCCCACTGTCAAGAGACCTCCTTCCACAGGACGAGTCACTCTAACCACTATAGGTCACCACCTACTTATTCGTAATAATTTAGATTTAATTCTTGTATGCAACCCATGCTTTAGTGGGTGTTAACTCCCATTGTCCTTAAATCATATCAATATTGTCTTCATATCACAAGTCATAGCATGTCCTGCGAGACACGAGTACAAATGTATTAGTGTTTGACCCGTCACCACAAAGGTCTTGTGACGAGGGTTGTCGCCCCTGGGGTGTAATAAATCAATTAAATAATAAGCCCAGCATGACTAAACAGACGCTCACAAGCAGCAGATGCAGGTTGTGGGGGTGTTAAGCTTGAGAGATAAGTCACATAATGTCGGGACAGACCTCAGTAACTCCATTCCATCCTCTGGGCATTCCAAGTAGCTATCAAGCTCTTTCAATTGAAGAGTTTGTGGATGATTGTTGCCTCCATAGTGACTGAATCTGACTAAGAAGACTAGCCATGAATTGTCCCTCTAATTGGGGGTGTGGTTGTGGTGACATCACTTTTCGATTCTCATTGAAGATTGGCTGAATTTTTCGCACCACGTAACATCTGGCGGGTGCTGGGGGGGAGGGCAGTGGTACTTAATTATTTAATCATAATTTTAAATACAGAACACTCAGTCTCACACAGGCTTTATATCTAAGATGGGATTATGTAAAGCATTTCAGAATCACAGCCTCTTTGAAATTCATTTTAGGTACAGGTACATGCAAAGAGCAACTGACGTCTAACCAGAAGACCAAATACCTGAAGCAAAGGTGGGGAGAAGAGAGGGGGGGATTCTATGAGGGAGCGGGGATACGAGGATAGGCTAGGTGAGGTGGGTCGTCAAGGGCTAATAGACACAAGAAGATCAAAGGGAAAGTCTGCTGTCATGGCCACTGCCACTTGACCTGACCTGAATTCACCTTACCGAATGAGACCTCTAGGTATGTGACCGCGTGTTGTCTCCCCACACCCACATTGTAACCTTCACGGCTCCACCCATACCATACCTTTCACCCACACAACTTTTTTTACTATGGTTAATAAATATTTAATTAATTAATTAAAAATATATTACTAGTCTGCCACAGACATTAAAACTCTTTGCTTGTTTGGGGCATGTAACGAGTAACAAATTTTGTTTTTTTCAATTGCATTGGAGTAAAAGTATTAGAAAATCATACTTAAGTAAGAGTACTAAAATTTTTAGTACTTTTTAAAAATTAGATACCCAAAAATGTTACTTGAGTACCCATACAGTAATCAGGTAAATTTATTCTGTTACTTACAACTCTGATTATCATGTTACATCACGAATGACTCATTGTATGAGGTTAAAACCATTTGATTTCATACATATATTTTTTTTATTTTTTTTTTATTTTTTTTAACGGGAATTAGCCCACCCGAGCACACGCCAAACGACCCACAAAGGGGCCTAGGGGGCGAAAAAAAAAAGAACAGAAAGAAATTAAAAATAAAGAACAAAAAGGTTATATTGTGTTAATCTATACCATGAAGATGCCGGAAACCAGCTTTTAAAGTGAGACAGATTGTATAAGTATGGAAACAGAAGAAGGCAGAGCATTCCACAGTTTGGCTGTGTGAGGAAAGAAGGAGGTACTATAACGGGTTATTCTCGTGTGACCGACATCCACAGAGAAACGGTGGGCACAGCGGGCAAGACGTGTGTTACGAGCCCACGGCCTTGCTGGCAGTACCGGGGTGCCAAATCCACCAAACATTGCCCGTTAAAGTACCTGTAAAAGAGAGAAAGTGAAGTAACATTGCGGTGAAGAGAAAGGGAAGAGAGATTGTCGACTAAAGGAGGAGTTAATAAGAAGAAATGCCTTTGATTCCACCCTATCTAACAGTTGAAGAGAAACCCCAGATATGAGAGCAGTATTCCAAGTTAGGACGAATGAATCCTTTATATACTTGGAGCAACAGCTCAGAAGTGAAGTAGCTACGGCATCTGTACAGCATTCCCAACTTTCGGGAGGCAGCTTTAGCTATACTAAGGATGTGTGATTTCCAGGACATATTGGAGGAAATGGTGAGGCCTAACATATTTATTTCAGAATTTGGCAGGATAATAGCATCCTGAAATGTAATTGGTGGGATATCGTCTAATTTACAAAGTGTAATTGGTAAGTATTGAGTTTTAACACTATTGAAGTTAACCAAGTTTGTACTTCCCCATTCAGAGATGCTGCACAGATCTGCATTGATAGAAGTAATGATAACAGTTCTAGAAACAGATCTAGTTTGAGAGTTAGGAGGAAGGATAAATGAGAAGAAGAGTGAAGAGTAGAATCATCAGCGTAAGAATGGATAGAATTAGTTGGAGTGTGAAGTAAATCATTGATAAAAAGAAGGAAGAGAGCAGGTGAAAGAACAGATCCCTGTGGGACACCACTACTGGTAGAGAAAGAAGGAAAGATCGAACCCTTGACAACAACTGCCATGGATCGGTTCTCAAGGAAGCTAGAGATGAGAAAACAGTGGGGGAGAGAAACCAAAAGAGGGAAATTTAGATAGCAAAGACTTGTGCCATACCCTGTCAAATGCTTTGGAGATGTCGAGGGCCACGACAAAAGTTTCCCCATAATCCCTAAGAGAGGATGACCAAAGATGGGTGCAATAGGAGAACAGATCACCAGTAGATCTCTCCTGGCGAAAGCCATACTGGTTTATCCGACAAAAGAGAAAGGCGTTCAAGGTGAAGGAGAAAATGGGAGTTTAAGATAGTTTCGAAAATCTTAGAGAGGGATGAGTTAGGGTAATGGGGCGATAGTTAGAGGGATTAGAATGGTCACCCTTCTTTGGGATGGGCTGAACCAAGGCATGCTTCCAAGAAGAAGGCAAAGTTTGGGTTTTGAGGCAGAGGCGAAAGAGGCAAGCAAGCACAGGGGCCAGGGCTTCAGCACACTCCCTCAGAACACGAGGGGGTATTCCGTCCGGTCCATGCGCCTTACTCACATCCAACCTGGATAACACACCGGCAACCCTGCGAGTGGAGATTATAGGAAAGTGCACAGGTTCAGTAGGAGGTGCAGGGGTAGGAGGGATAGAGTGGGAATCGTCTAAGGTAGAATTAGAGGAGAATAAGGTGCCAAAAAGGTTGGCTTTGTCAGGGGGAGAGTTGGCTATAGAGTTATCGGGTCGGAAGAAAGGAGAAAGAGAGGAGGAAAAGAGGGAGTGCAGAAGTTGTTAGATGTTTTTAGTTAAGGACCAAAAGGATTTACTAGAGGAAGAATTAGTCAGGACAACGGTCTTTCTTTTAATAAAATTCCGCTTGGCCCTACGAAGAATAGCCTTACAACGATTCCTAGAAGTAATGAAAGAGGTGTGGGTAATGGGAGAAGGAGATAGTTTCATAGCTCGATATGCCCTATCTCTCACCCTGCAAGCAAGAGAGCAGGAGCGATCAAACCATGATTGTAATGTGAAAGTTTTGGTAGAAGATGGGATAAATGCACTCATACCGCCCTGTATAACCCCAGCAATGTTGTCAGCACATACCGAGGCATCCCGAGTGGAAAAGCAACATTCATCCCAAGGTAAGTAGGTGAAGAATTCTCGCAAGGATTGCCAGCTTGCCCTCCGATAGTGCCATAATTGACGTTTAGAGGGGGGTGGGGGAGGTGGTCGTGCCCAGTTTGATTTAATAGAAATAAGGTTGTGATCAGAAGACCCTAAGGGGGCAAAAATTGTGTATGAATAGTGAGAAGGGTTAGAGGTAAAACAAAGATCAAGAATGTTAGCAAGTTGATCGTGTCGATCAGGAATGCATGTAGGGTGTTTGATTATTTGTTCCAAATCATTAAGTAGGGAAAAAGAGAGTGCCTCAGCTTGTGTCATGTTTTTGGCCCCCCCAAATTTTTCCATAGAAGTGCATCTCAAATTTTATAATGGAAGTACAGAATATGGGAAAACTGGTTTCGCGTTACAGAAAGACTTTCAGGAACAGAATCCTTCTGTAACCCGACGGATGCCTGTACAGGAAAATGTTCCTTCAACCGTATACAGTACAGTACTCTCAAGTACTTTAAGTCCCGGTCTGGATTACTGTAGCCTACTGTATATTGTTCAGGCACGGAAATCCTTTCTTCAGGAAAAATCTAATATCCCTACAAAAGGTGCAACACACAGCCACTCATCCTACTGGTCACCAGTACAGTATGGGGTCTAAACAAAAGTCTCCTAGGACAAATGTCCCCCAGTTAAAGTGCAAAATAAGTTAGGTTAGGGTAGGTTAGGTATTGCAGTCTTATATAATAAATATAATACTTAATTTTACAGTTTTACAGTGTTCATTAACTGCAAATAATGAAGAATAAAAATAATGATTACAAAAATTCTTATTATTATGTGTCCTAGGGGGCTTTTGTCCTCTGGTGTTTGTCCAATTTTTTTGTCCTACACTCTTACAGTATAGCTGATCACTTATATCATTTGTTACCCGATAATATTATTACCGATAAATCTACCACTCTCTACTGCATATTTCTATCTCTATAAATATGTACAGTATATCACCTATATCATTGGAGAAGAGGTAGAACTGCTTCAGCTTCTGGACGAGGGGTGTAACCATCTCCCACGCCCGCCTCTGATAGTCATCCCCAGGGTCACTGATGGCCTGTAGGAGTAATAACAAACACAAATGTACTCTCTCTCTCTCTCATTGGTAAAACTGATAAGGTATTTAGGTGTTGCAATGTTCCACAGAAAATTACAATTCTAGAATATTTTTACTCTGAAATAAGACTGAATTAAATACTGTATGTATGGATTGAGTGGTGGTGGTGGTTGTAGTACTGGCAGTGATGATGGTCATATTGGTGGTGGTGGTGGTGGTACTGGTGTTGGTGGTGGTACTGGTGTTGGTGGTGGTACTGGTGTTGGTGGTGGCACTGGAGGTTGTGGTTGTGGTACTGGTGGTGATAGTTGTAGTGGTGGTGGTTGTAGTACTGGTGGTGGCAGGGGCAGATCCAGAAATATCAAAAGGGATGGTCCAAGAATTTGTGGGTGGGGGAAACATGGCGAGCATAGTGATCTCACCCAGATGCGGGGGGGGATTTGGGGGGGTGCTGTAGCCCACAGAAAATTTTTAAAATCTGACCAACTGTCATACTGTAGGTTGCGTTGGGCCTACCCACTAATCAACTACAATGTTTGTTTTGGGATATAAGACACTAGGCCGTGACTCGCCATCACTATTTCATTAGTGGGTATGTGAGCCTATGTGTGTGTGTGTGTGTGTGTGTGTGTGTGTGTGTGTGTGTGTGTGTGGGGGAGGTTGAGAGTGTCCGTATTGTTGTCCATCGTGTTGCATGCCCCCAAACCACATTTTAGCCAGTAACCCCTAGACCATGGGTTAGTTAAGATGTCCTCATTCTCCCCTTCCTGAAGGGAATGGAACGCTACACAGAGTCCTTTACCACGACACCGTCCTGTGGACTGTCAGTGAAGAGAGACTGCGCGAGTGTCAACCCAAGTCACCTTACGAGTTTTCCATGACACCGTCTACAACAGCTGTCAGTGACACGAGACTATGTGTGCTAACCCAAGGTTTGTTATTCCCCCGTGGAAAGAAGATCGCGTGTGAAAGTCTGGTTGCAACAAGAGCGATCCAGGCTGGTAGTGAATGTATCACTTGAGGAATTAAGGCTCTGTTAAGTTATAACCATAGTAGAGTAATTAAATTTGCGTCCCAGGTTGAAAATTCCCTCTTTACAAGATTAATTTTATTATGGTGTAGTGGACTCCTCCCCTACAAACGCCGTTTGGCAATGCCTAGCCGACCCCACGATTTCACCAGCCTGCCCTCGTGGTCTAGGTCAGCAACCAGCGCCGCCCTACATCACGGAGGTCAACTATTAAGCCACGCCTACCTCCACTATTTAAGACCTCGCCTCGTGGTGACCTCCCTCCTTCTACCCACAGCCACCAGCAAGCAACACCTCCTCCTCCGCTCCTGCCTGGCGGCTCCCGCTCCAGCCGGCAACCATGGCGACCCATAAGCTGGTCCTCCTCTGAGCACCCTCACCAACCAGCTCTCTCTACTCAACGCTTGTAACCATGCTGCCTTCCCAGCACCAAGCTGCATTGTACATCCAATACAATATGTAAACAGAGAGCACATTGTGAGTTTCCTTTCTCCATCCCATCCTGTGTGAACCAATATTGCGAAATCCCACAATGGCGTGAATGTGAGCGACTCATATATCCATGCAAATTGTAAATCATGATATGGAAGCTTGCCAAATAAATGTAAGTGCAATTATCTGCCCGTAATGACTTATTGGTTCAGACAAAGTATAACCAATAGCTTCGATTGATGTTGGAAATTAATGGAATTCATTTAAATAATCATCATTTATAAAGTATAAGTCACATGGAATGTCGGGTGGTCGAGTGAATTTCTATGTATATACACCATAATCTCCTGTAAGTATCCAGTGTGAAGTTATCAAACTCTATGATAAGAAATTAAGAAACACGTATACATACACTCCTCGCTATTGCATTATGAGCAGAGTCATGATGGACATAAACAACAAAAAGAAATATCAATGCAAAATTTATCTGAGAAGTTAACAAACTTCCGGCAGTCTATAGGCCTCCCTTTTCTTTTGATACACTCCTGCAGGTGTGAAGAAACTGATTCTGTCAAGTTGTGGAGGGGGTGCGTAGGAGGGGTGTTGGAGGTGAAAGGACATATACGTCAGTATGTGGTGGAGGGAGCGTGGTAGATGGGGCGTGGTGGAGGGAGCGTGGTGGATGGGGCGTGGTGGAGGGAGCGTGGTGGATGGGGCGTGGTGGAGGGAGCGTGGTGGATGGGGCGTGGTGGAGGGAGCGGTGGATGGGGCGTGGTGGAGGGAGTGGTGGATGGGGCGTGGTGGAGGGAGCTGGTGGATGGGGCGGTGGAGGAGCTGGTGGATGGGGCGTGGTGGAGGAGCGTGGTGGATGGGCGTGGTGGAGGGAGCGTGGTGATGGGGCGTGGTGGAGGGGAGCGTGGTGGATGGGGCGTGGTGGAGGGAGCGTGGTGGATGGGTGGTGGAGGGAGCGTGGTGGAGGGAGCGTGGTGGATGGGGCGGTGGAGGGAGCGGTGGATGGGGCGTGGTGGAGGGAGCGTGGTGGATGGGGCGTGGTGGAGGGGTGGTGATGGGGCGTGGTGGAGGGAGCGTGGTGGATGGGGCGGTGGAGGGAGCGTGGTGGATGGGGCGTGGTGGAGGGAGCTGGTGGATGGGGCGTGGTGGAGGGAGCGTGGTGGATGGGCGTGGTGGAGGGGAGCGTGGTGGATGGGGCGTGGTGGAGGGAGCGTGGTGGATGGGCGTGGTGGAGGGAGCGTGGTGGATGGGGCGTGGTGGAGGGAGCGTGGTGGATGGGCGTGGTGGAGGGAGTGGTGGATGGGGCGTGGTGGAGGGAGCGTGGTGGATGGGGCGTGGTGGAGGGAGCGTGGTGGATGGGGCGTGGTGAGGAGCGTGGTGGATGGGGCGTGGTGGAGGAGCGGTGGATGGGGCGTGGTGGAGGGAGCGGTGGATGGGGCGGTGGAGGGAGCGTGGTGGATGGGGCGGTGGAGGGAGCGTGGTGGATGGGGCGTGGAGGGCGTGGTGGAGGGGCGTGGTGGAGGGGCGTGGTGGAGGGGGCGTGGGAGGAGGGCGGTGAGGGGGCGTGGTGAGGGGGCGTGGTGGAGGGGGGGCGTGGTGGAGGGGCGTGGTGGAGGGGGCGTGGTGGAGGGGGCGTGGTGGAGGGGCGTGGTGGAGGGAGCGGTGGGATGGGGCGGTGAGGGAGCGTGGTGGATGGGGCGGTGGAGGGAGCGTGGTAGATGGGGCGTGGTGGAGGGATGGTAGATGGGGCGGTGGAGGAGCGTGGTAGATGGGGCGTGGTGAGGAGCGTGGTAGATGGGGCGTGGTGGAGGGAGCGTGGTAGATGGGGCGTGGTGGAGGAGCGCAGATGGGGCGTGGTGGAGGAGGCGTGGTAGATGGGCGGGTGGAGGGAGCGTGGTAGATGGGGCGTGGTGGAGGGAGCGTGGTAGATGGGGCGTGGTGGAGGGAGCGTGGTAGATGGGGCGGTGGAGGAGCGGTAGATGGGGCGTGGTGGAGGAGCGGTAGATGGGGCGTGGTGGAGGGATGTAGATGGGGCGTGGTGGAGGAGCTGGAGATGGGGCGTGGAGGAGCGTGGTAGATGGGGCGTGGTGGAGGGAGTGGTAGAGGGGTGTGGTGGAGGGAGGGTAGATGGGGTGTGGTGGAGGGAGCGTGGTAGATGGGGTGTGGTGGAGGGAGGTGGTAGATGGGGTGTGGTGGAGGGAGCGTGGTAGATGGGGGGTGGTGGAGGGAGCGTGGTAGATGGGGTGGTGGAGGGCGTGGTGATGGGGGTGGTGGAGGGAGCGTGGTAGATGGGTGGGAGGGAGCGGTAGATGGGGTGGTGGAGGGAGCGTGGTAGATGGGGTGTGGTGGAGGGAGCGTGGTAGATGGGGTGGTGGAGGGAGCGTGGTAGATGGGGTGGTGGAGGGAGCGTGGTAGATGGGGGTGTGGTGGAGGGAGCGTGGTAGATGGGGTGGTGGAGGGAGCGGTAGATGGGGCGTGGTGGAGGGAGCGGTAGATGGGGCGTGGTGGAGGAGGTGGTAGATGGGGCGTGGTGGAGGGAGCGTGTAGATGGGGCGTGGGAGGAGCGTGGTAGATGGGGTGGTGGAGGGAGCGTGGTAGATGGGGCGGGTGGAGGGAGCGGTGGAGGGAGCGTGGTAGATGGGTGGTGGAGGGAGCGTGGTAGATGGGGTGTGGTGGAGGGAGCGTGGTAGATGGGTGTGGTGGAGGGAGCGTGGTAGATGGGGTGTGGTGGAGGGAGCGTAGATGGGGTGTGGTGAGGAGCGTAGATGGGGTGGGAGGGAGCGTGGTAGATGGGTGTGGTGGAGGGAGCGTGGTAGATGGGGTGTGGTGGAGGGAGCGTGGTAGATGGGTGTGGTGGAGGGAGCGTGGTAGATGGGGTGTGGTGGAGGGAGCGTGGTAGATGGGGTGGTGGAGGGAGCGTGGTAGATGGGTGTGGTGGAGGAGCGTGGTAGATGGGGTGGTGGGAGGGAGCGGTAGATGGGGTGTGGTGGAGGGAGGCGTGGTGATGGGGTGGTGGAGGAGGTGGGTGATGGGTGGGTGGAGGAGCGTGGTGATGGGGCGTGGTAGGAGCGTGGTAGATGGGCGTGGTGGAGGAGCGTGGTAGATGGGGGCGTGGTGGAGGAGCGTGGTGGAGGGAGCGTGGTAGATGGGGTGTGGTGGAGGAGGTGGTAGATGGGGTGGTGGAGGGAGCGTGGTAGATGGGGTGTGGTGGAGGGAGCGTGGTAGATGGGGTGTGGTGGAGGGAGCGTGTAGATGGGGTGTGGTGGAGGGAGCGTGGTAGATGGGGTGGTGGAGGGAGCGTGGTGATGGGGTGTGGTGGAGGGAGCGTGGTAGATGGGTGTGGTGGAGGGAGCGTGAGATGGGGTGTGGTGGAGGGAGCGTGGTAGATGGGGGTGTGGTGGAGGAGCGTGGTAGATGGGGTGGTGGAGGGAGCGTGGTAGATGGGGTGTGGTGGAGGGAGCGGTAGATGGGTGGTGGAGGGAGCGTGGTAGATGGGGTGTGGTGGAGGGAGGCCTACTCCATCACCGTCACACTAAGTAACGGGTAGACTGCTGCAGGATAAAACACGGCCCCATAACCTGCGCCTGACGACCGACCAGCCCCGGTCCAGCCAGGAGTCTTCCCGCCAATTTTGGTCTTCATGCAAGAATGACGATGGGATAGTCGTGAACCTGGCATCTTTCCTTCTCCATATACAGTAGAGATCACGTATCCCTTTTCTTCCACGTAATTATAGTACAGAATATTAATAACATGCAGCTATAAACCTTTTTATCACATAATGTGACCCATGCTGGAAGTGGTTGCGGTCTCCAGACTTACAGAACTCGTGTGTAATAAAACGAATGTTTGAGTGCTAAGTTGGGTGTTATCCCTCAAAACAAATACCAAGCTGAACCTTGTAGTTTTAGATTTAATATTACAATACCAGTTTTCTAAGAACATAACTTTCAAACATAATATCAATTACACGCTGACATACGACTTTACTGTTGGAAAACGAATAGAAAAAAAAAGAGCCGAACTAGCGAAAAATTTGCAGACATTTGTATATCCCCGCACGTGCATTTTGTGCCCATATATGAAATGTCGTACTGGTTCCGGACCAATCAGCCAGCCCCCAACACGATCATCATCGCCATCGACCAATCAGCGGGCGAACTGCAACACGCCCCTTAGGTTGCCAAACGTCACAGCAACAAGAGCGTTTACCTAAAATAAACCTGTACAAATTATACTTGTAGTTTTGTTTTTAAATTTCATTTAATTATGAATCAACAATCAAATTTAAAAATAAAAGAAAGGTTTAGTAATTAAGTCTTTAGTTTTTGTCGAAGTTCAAGTCTGGCCTGCTATAATAATACACCCTTAAAACCCAGAAGACGACGATCAAACATTTCAGCGAATTAACCACAAATCAAAATGAAGAAGATTGTATCCAAACATTAATCCCGATGCCCAGTCACCTAAAAAAAAATAATATCGAAAACAGGTGAATATGAACATAATAAATCAATAAAGGTCCACAACATGCCCCGCACAGCCAGTCAACCATAGTCCCTTTAATCGCCTCCACACACACACACACATACATACACGCTCATACAAACCTAAAAGAGTAAATAGATACTCGTACTGAGGAGAGATGGCTAACGTCTTACTTTACACAGAGGGTCCCTGTAATCCTCCAGCATGTAAACACTCCTTTACATTACATCAGACCAAACGTTCACACTGACTCGGTAACGTACGTACTATCATTCATACTACCTCCTAGAGTACCCGGAGTAAACCTGTGATGTCTGGTTGAGTCACACCGAATAACACCCTTCTCGCATCAGACCCGGACGGGATCGAACCCGGCATTGTAATGGGTGAAACTCGCGTTATGTTGAATCATTCTTCCCCACAACTTGACATCGGTTTAACATTTTCCCCTAAAGCAGGTGGGGGTACTAATTTTCATGTGAACCCCTTTGAGTGTTCAGTGTGAGCTAGACACACCTTGTCAATTTCTATTCATTACCTTTTACCCATTCAGTTATATATTTATTTTTTTCATGTTTATATTTTAATTTGCCAATTCATTTACCCTTTAAACCATTTGTTTATTATTAACGCATTTCCATAAATTGTATTCATCAGTGAAGTAAGGGCGAGGGAAGGTGGAGGTACGAATGAAGGTAAGGGAGTGAGTGCAGGTGTATGAGGGTGAGGGATGCGAGTGAGGGAGATAGTGAGGGGTGTTCCAGGGAAGGATATAGTGAGTAAGGGGGGAGGAGGTGAGTGAGGGGTGAGAGGGAGGGTGAGGGGGTGAGTGAGGGAAATAGTGAGGGGTGTTCCAGGGTGAAGGATATAGTGAGTAAGGGTGAGGAGGTGAGGAGGGTGAGAGGGAGGGAGGGGGTGGGAGGGAGGGGAGAGGGGGGAGGAGGGGTGAGGAGGGTGAGGGGAGGGTGAGGGATGCGAGTGAGGGAGATAGTGAGGGGTGTTCCAGGGTGAAGGATATAGCAAGGGTGAGGAGGTGGGTGAGGGGGGGGTGAGTGAGGGAAATAGTGAGGGGGTGTCCAGGGTGAAGGATATAGTGGAGGAAGGGTGAGGAGGTGAGTGAGGGGTGAGGGGGAGGGTGAGGGGTGAGTGAGGAAATAGTGAAGGGGTGTTCCAGGGTGAAGGATTAGTGAGTAAGGGTGAGGAGGGGTGAGTGAGGGTGAAGGGAGGGGAGGGGGTGAGTGAGGGGTGTTCCAGGGTGAAGGATATAGTGAGCAAGGGTGAGGAGGTGGGTGAGGGGAGGGAGGGGTGAGGAGGGGGAGGGGTGAGGGGGTGAGTGAGGGGGGGAGGGTGAGGGGTGTTCCAGGTGAAGGATATAGTGAGTAAGGGTGAGGAGGTGAGGAGGGTGAGAGGGAGGGTGAGGGGGTGAGTGAGGGAAATAGTGGGGGTGTTTCCAGGTGAAGGATATAGTGAGGGGTGAGGAGGTGAGTGAGGGTGAGAGGGGGAGGGGTGAGGGGTGAGTGAGGGTGAGGGGGGGAGGTGAGGGGTGAGGAGGGGAGGGGGGGAGGGTGAGGGGGTGAGTGAGGGAAATAGTGAGGGGTGTTCCAGGGTGAAGGATAGTGAGCAAGGGTGAGGAGGTGAGTGAGGGGAGGGGGGAGGTGGAGGGTGAGTGAGGGTGAGGGGAGGGTGAGGGGGTGAGAGGGGGGAGGGGAGGAGGTGAGGGATGCGAGTGAGGAGATAGTGGGGGGTGTTCCAGGGTGAAGGATATAGTGAGCAAGGGTGAGGAGGTGAGTGAAGGGAGGGGGGGAGGGTGAGGGGTGAGTGAGGGTGAGGGGGAGGGGTGAGTGAGGAAATAGTGAGGGGTGTTCCAGGGTGAAGGATATAGTGAGTAAGGGTGAGGAGGTGAGTGATGGTGGAGAGGGGAGGTGAGGGGGTGAGGAGGGAGATAGTGAGGGGTGTTCCAGGGTGAAGATATAGTGAGTAAGGGTGAGGATGGAGTGAGGTGAGGGGAGGGTGAGGGGGTGAGGAGGGAGGGTGAGGGGGTGAGTGAGGGGGGAGGGTGAGGGGGTGAGGAGGGGAGGGTGAGGGGGGGTGAGGAGGGGGGAGGGTGAGGGGTGGAGGAGGGTGAGAGGGGAGGGTGAGGGGGGTGAGGAGGAGATAGTGAGGGAGTGTTTCAGGTGAAGGATATAGTGAGGAGGGGTGAGGAGGTGATGGTGAGAGGGGGGAGGGGTGAGGAGGGGGGGAGGGTGAGGGGGAGGGTGAGGGGGGGAGGGTGAGGGGGGGGAGGGTGAGGGGGAGGGTGAGAGGGAGGTGAGGGGGGGGAGGGTGAGGGGGGTGAGTGAGGGGAGGGTGAGGGGGTGAGAGGGTGAGGGGGGGTGAGGAGGGTGAGGGGGTGAGAATGAGTGACTCACCTCCCTGATCTCCTTGGCGGCGCCTTTATACTGCTGCAGGTCGTGGATCACCGCCTGGGACCCTCTCAACACCTCCGCCACGTCCTCGTACAGTAGCCGTTCCTCCGCACTCGGTACAGCATCTGAAAAACAGCACTGGCATCAAACAGCGCTGGCATCAAACACAGCACTGGCATCAAACAGCGCTGATCTAACACAGCACTGGCATCAAACAGCGATACATAACATAGCACTGGCATCAAACAGCGCTGATCTAACACAGCACTGCATCAAACAGCGGACATCTAACACAGCACTGGCATCAAACAGCGCTGACATATAACACAGCACTGGCATCAAACAGCGCTGAGATATAACACAGCACTGGCATCAAACAGCTGACATCTAACACAGCACTGGCATCAAACAGCGATATCCAACACAGCACTGGCATCAAACAGCGCTGACATATAACACAGCGCGGCATCTAACAGCGCTGACATCTAACACAGCGCTGACATCTAACACAGCACTGGCATCAAACGCTGACATCTAACACAGCACTGGCATCAAACAGCGCTGACATCTAACACAGCGCTGACATCTAACACAGCGCTGACATCTAACACAGCGCTGACATCTAACAGCGCTGGCATCTAACACAGCACTGACATCTAACACAGCACTGACATCTAACACAGCGCTGACATCTAACAGCCCGACATCTAACACAGAGCTGACATTTAACACAGCTGACATCTAATACAGCTGACAACAAACACAGCTGACATCTAACAGCGCGACATCTAACACAGCGCTGACATCAAACACAGCTGACATCAAACACAGCGCTGACATCTAACACAGCGCTGACATCTAACACAGCGCGACATCAAACACAATGCTGACATCTAACACACCACTGACATCTAACACAGCACTGACATCTAACACAGCGCTGACATCCAACACAGCGCTGACATCAAACACAGCGCTGACATCAAACACAGCGCTGACATCTAACACAGCACTGACATCTAACACAGCTGACATCTAACACAGCACTGACATCTAATACAGCGCGACATCAAACACAACGCTGACATCTAACACAGCACTGACATCTAACACAGCGCTGACATCTAACACAGCACTGACATCTACAGCGCTGACATCAAACACAACGCTGACATCTAACACAGCACTGACATCTAACACAGCGCTGACATCTAACACAGCACTGACATCTAACACAGCACTGACATCTAACACAGCGCTGACATCTAACACAGCACTGACATCTAATACAGCGCTGACATCTAACACAGCGCTGACATCTAACACAGCACTGACATCTAATACAGCGCTGACATCAAACACAACGCTGACATCTAACACAGCACTGACATCTAACACAGCGCTGACATCTAACACAGCACTGACATCTAATACAGCGCTGACATCAAACACAACGCTGACATCTAACAGCACTGACATCTAATACAGCGCTGACATCTAACACAATGCTGACATCTAATACAGAGCTGACATCTAACACAGCACTGACATCTAATACAGCGCTGACATCTAATACAGCGCTGACATCTAACACAACGCTGACATCTAATACAGAGCTGACATCTAACACAGCGCTGACATCTAATACAGCGCTGACATCAAACACAACGCTGACATCTAACACAGCACTGACATCTAACACAGCACTGACATCTAATACAGCGCTGACATCTAACACAGCACTGACATCTAACACAGCGCTGACATCTAACACAGCTGACATCTAACACAGCGACATCTAAACACAGCGCTGACATCTAACACAGCGCTGACATCTAACACAGCGCTGACATCTAACACAACGCTGACATCTAACACAGCACTGACATCTAACACAGCGCTGACATCTAACACAGCACTGACATCTAATACAGCGCTGACATCAAACACAACGCTGACATCTAACACAGCACTGACATCTAATACAGCGCTGACATCTAACACAATGCTGACATCTAATACAGAGCTGACATCTAACACAGCACTGACATCTAATACAGCGCTGACATCTAATACAGCGCTGACATCTAACACAACGCTGACATCTAATACAGCGCTGACATCTAATACAGCGCTGACATCTAACACAACGCTGACATCTAATACAGAGCTGACATCTAACAGCGCTGACATCTAATACAGCAGTATGGACGTGTACAATACAAGGGTGTACAGCAGTATGGACGTGTACAATACAAGGGTGTACTCACTCTCAAAGTCGAGGAAGACGTCGTATTTCTGGTGAGAGCAACAGCTGTTCCCGGCATCATCCCGTGCTAACAGCCTCAACAAGTTACCCATCCTACATCACCTGTAAGAGTACACAGTTAACAGTTATCATCCTACATCACCTGTACAGTTAACAGTTACCATCATACAGTTATTTAGGGAATATACAGCACAGTGCTGAGCTACCGGAGTAAACAGAAGAGTTACACGAACAAGACTGAAGCTCACGAGAATAAAATGTTCCTACGAGCTACGCCCATCCGAGAAACACTGTCTACCACTCGCGTCTACCACTCGTTGGGCAAATGTTTCGTGCCGAAGTTCCCAAAAATGTGACGGCTAAATCTTCCTCGAAACTGTTAGTGTAGTTTAGCAAGATCACAAATATAACGGCCAAAATGGTGAAGAGATTTCACTGACTATCACAACCAAACACGTTCTAATTTTACCAATTAACGGGGCAAATCACAGTTTAAATATAAACCGAACACTGAACACCTAGATGACAAGATCACTTTGAGGTAGGAACTGCACACTAGTGGTTACAACTACTGCAGTATACAGCGGGTGCAGCGTCACGGGGGCTAGCTAGTATCTCCCGTGTCGACATTGACACCTGATAAAGACCTCTTTACCGTCAGCCACAACAACCCGCAATTAATGAGACATTTTCCTCATTAAGCTATCAAGGATTATAATAATGTATGACCAAAAACACAGGATGAATGGATGTTGTCATGTCATGGCGACCGAGGTATTTCTTCTGTGATATGCTGGGAGAGTTTACAGGTCTCCATTTATTGGGACAGTGTTAGATCCAAACACTTGAGGATAAGAGTGTCTGGCGGGGAGTTAAGACTATTAAATAGGTAACTTTCAGCTTCTGAACTCAAATGTTACACATGGTGAAATATTGCCAGTTATAACAGACAACAAAAAAAGGCATCTCCAATCGAGTTGATAGAGAATCCTTCCCCAGAAACAAGTATGTTTCACACATGATGAAATCAAGACTACGGAAACCCCAACATCACGTCCCTCACAAGTGGCGCCAGTAACCTTCCTCCGTGATGGTTGCTCTCCGTCACTCCCTCCGCTGATATGAGGATTGGAAAAAAATCATCGATTTAATAAACAATAAAATAATAAATACTGTACAATTTCATTTCACTGCGCTTTGAATGATTCTGTCAAGGCGGTGGCTGGACACAGATACATGGATGGCATGTGTTGTCAAGTTTCACTGGTTGCGAGAGTGTATGATTACCTCAAGGATGTGTATTGTTACCGTGGCTGTCCAATATTTACATGGATGAGGTGATGGAGGGTGGGGGCAGTGTGACTGAGTGAAATGTGAGGTACAGTACAAATTGCAGGTGAGTCACCTGTTTAGTTGCGGGTTACAGAAATCTGGTGGACGACTCAGGTGAGTAGTTACCTAGGCAAGTGAATAAGTTTGGAAGGGCGTGTGCTGGAGAACGTTAACTGTAAATGAAAATTAAAGCAAAGTGACGAAAAAATAGTGTGAAGAAAGACGGAAAAGAGCCAAAGATGGGGATGAACAGGAGTATAGTTGATATGGCTACGGATGTGAAGGATGGACACCGCAGGATACATGAGGAATGAACACGCATGAAGTAAGAGAAATATATAATTAATTGAAAGAAAAACTGAACTGAGAACATACTAGTATATACATTGGTAATACTGATATATTGAGAGAAGTGAAATGCAAGACTGATGAAAAGAGTAAAGTTAAAGATGGTGTGGTGAGGGAGGCCCATGTTAGGACGGGACGAGTACGGACATCTCAGTGGGTGTGTAAATGAGTGGATAGGTGCCGAAATGACAGATGCTTATTTTGGGAGCCTTATTGTGGGAGGGAAAAAACCTGCGGAGAACACCTTTAAGACACATAACAGTGAATTAGTGATAGCGGATAAAGGGCGTCTGTCTTGTGTTAGGTCTTGACTGGCCACCCTGAGTCACAGCAGGAAAAAATAACACAAATGTAGAAAACAATAATGAAGATTAATGGATTATTACTATGGCTGTTGTGTTAGGTGGTGATAACGTGTGAGGAGAGCTGCCAAGTGAGTACTGTTCATCCCATACCTCTCTCGCCACCCTTTACCTCTCACTCGTCACCCCTTACACTACTCATCATCCCACACCACACTCATCACCCCCTCACACCACACTCATCACCCCCTCACACCACACTCATCACCCCCTCACACCACAGTCAACCCTCCACACATCACACTCATCACCCCTCACACCACACTCATCACCACCCCCTCACACACACCACTCATCCACCCCTCACACCACACTCATCACCCCCTCACCACCACATCATCACACCCCACACCACAGTCATCACCCCCTCACACCACACACCCCCCACACCACAGTCATCACCCCACACCACACTCATCACCCCCTCACACCACACTCATCACCCCTCACACCACAGTCATCACCCCCTCACACCACACTCATCACCCCCCACACAACACTCCTCACACATCATCACCACACCCTCACCCCACACCACATCCCACACACTCATCGCCCCCACACCACACTCACCACACCACACCTCATCGCCCCCCTCACACCACACCATCACCCATCACACCACACCCATCACCCATCACACCACACTCATCACCCATCACACCACACTCATCACCCCTCACACCCACTCATCACCCCCACACCACCACCTCATCACCCCTCACACCACACATGACCACCCCTTACCTCTCCAGCCTCATCATCCTTCACCACCCATCACACCACACTCATCACCCTCACCCCCCACTCATCAACCCTCACACCACATGACCACCCTTACCTCTCACCACACTCATCATCCTTCACCACCACTCATCACCACCACACATCACTCATCATCCCCCCTTACCTCTCCCCAATCATCATCCTTCACCACCCATCACACCACACTCATCACCCCTCACACCACACTCCATCACCACTCACACCCCCACCCCTCCCCCACACATCACCACCTCTTACCTGTCACCACACTCATCATCCTTCACCACCCATCACACCACACCCATCAACCCCTCACACCACACTCATCACCCCATCACACCACACTCCATCACCCCCTCATACCACACACTGACCCCTTACCTCTCACCACACTCATCATCCTTCACCACCCATCACACCACACTCATCACCCCTCACACCATCACACCCCTCACACCCACACATCCACAACCCTTTACCTCTCACCACACTCATCATCCTTCACCACCCATCACACCACACTCATCACCCCACCCCCCACTCCATCACCCACACCATCACCTCACACCACACTCATCACACCACACTCATCACCCCACACCCCTTACCTCTCACCCACACTCATCATCCTTCACCACCCATCACACCACACTCATCACCCATCACACCACACTCATCACACCATCACACCCACACATCACCCACACCCATCACTCATCACACCCACACTCATCACCCCACACTCATCACCCCCCACCACACTCATCACCCCCTCACACCACACATCACAACCCCTTACCTCTCACCACACTCATCACCCTTCACCACCCATCACACCACACTCATCACCCTTCACCCCCACTCATCACTCCTCACACCACACATCACCACCTCTTACCTCTCACCACACTCATCATCCTTTATCACCCATCACACCACACTCATCACCCCCCACACCACGCTCATCACCCCTCACACACCACACTCATCACCCATCACCCCCCACACCACCTCTCCTCCTCACCACACTCACCATCCTTCATCACCCATCACACCACACCATCACCCATCACACCACTCATCACCCATCACACCACACATCACCACCCCTTACCTCTCACCACTCATCACCTTCACTCACACCACACATCACCACCCCTTACCTCACACCACACTCATCACCCTTCACCCCCACTCATCACTCCTCACCCCCCACTCATCACTCCTCACATCACACATCACCACCCCTTACCTCTCACCACACTCATCATCCCTCACCACCCTTCACACCACACTCATCACCCCTTCACACCACACTCATCACTCCTCACACCACACATCACTGTAATGAGGGAAATCTGAAGTAGAAATAATATAAAGAATTTATTGAGTAATGGCATGTAAAGTGAGGAAGTTTTGTAGCGTGGCCGGTTAGTTACTTTGACGTGGTATTATATTCGTGGGGGGAATCTTCTCTAAACACCAACTCCAAGTACAACTATTTTTTAGTGAACTCAATAGTATGGACACATTAATAGATCATTATATTGAGACAATGACTCTCGAACACAAGCATGAAATGGATACACTTCCCACCGTAAGTAACTCACCATATAGCAGGGGTTCTTAACCTGGGGTCCATGGATGGGCTTCAGGGGGTCCGTGAAGGTCAGATACAAATTTAACATTTATATTCACTATACTTTGTGTGTCATACACTGTATGAGGCAATGAATTTTCAATAAAATAAAGTATATTCATTGCATACAAAGTTGTGTTTACATGTATGTGCTTATGTGCATTTTTCTAGGGAGGGGGTCCATAGCTTTCACCAAACTCTCAAAGGGGTCCTTGACTCAAAAAAGGTTAAGAACCACTGCCCTATAGATTGCTATGACAAAGGGAGGCCCAGCAGGTGCTGATGTGTGTGTGTGTGTGTGTGTTTTGTGTGTGTGTGTTTTGTGTGTGTGTGTGTGTTTTGTGTTTAGTGTGTGTGTTTTGTGTTTAGTGTGTGTGTGTTGTGTGTGTGTGTGTGTGTCAGGAAATGTAGAAATGGCATAACCATTACCACCATCATCCTTTCCATTATCACCACCACCAACTTCCTCTTACCATCACCATCAACATCCTCCCCACCACCGTCACCAGCATCCTCTCTACCACCACTACTACCACCCCCTAAACCAACAACAACCAGACCATCTGCGTTATCTCATATTTTCCTCCGCCGTTACCTCCACCTCCACCCCTCCCCGTCCTGTTATCTGCAACGGGTCTGAACATCATCCTGAGACA